GAGAGTATGGCTGACTTGACATAAGGGGAGTGCATGGAGGGCAGTGGAAGGAAGGATGTGTAACTGTAATTCGTCACGCATTATCCAATAACGAAACCAAGCATGCACAACCGTACCTGCAGCTGAGCGGCTTCGGCCTCCTTCCCTGCAAGAGAAGCCCCCATGGCAGACGCTCGTTGCTGCAGCAGCACAGCTCGGCCCCTTTCCTCCTCCAGCAACCCCTCCGCCCTCCTCGCCCTCTCGTGTCCCGCCACCACTGCTGCCCGCTCGCCCTCCTGTCATGCAGCATGTGTACACACGGGACGCGCAGACGCCAGGGAGGAAGAGAAGCGAGGCGAAGGGGAGAAGGCAAAAAGGCAGAGAGTACGGAGAGAGGTGGTGAGGGAGGACTAATGAGGGTAGCAAGAGCGTCATGGTGGGTTGAAGATGCAGTTTAGAACATCGCTACAACATAAAGATGAGGGAAGCAGCAGGAGTCTCACCAGCTTGGCAGAGAGCGAGTCAATGGCTGCCTGCCTCTCCTCGTTCATAGCCTGCAACGTCAAGGTGAAGGAGAACGAGAGAAAAGTGAGAAACAGCGCGAGATAGATGTGCACACACGGGCATTGACGTTGACAAAGAGGAGAGACACAAGCAGTGGCATCAGTATGGGCATGCCCAAGGCTGTAAGTAAACGAATTCCAGCAAGCCGGGTTGGTCGTGACACGGACCGTCATACCACTCACCACGAGAGCAGCAACCCTTTCTTGGAGCTCCTTCACCGCCCTCTGCGACCTCTCTGCAGCCGCTGCTGCCTCTGCTGCTGCGGCTGCATGCACTCGCTCCACTGCTGCTTGCCTCTCCGCCTCCATCTCCCTCCTCTCCCTCCCCCTCTCCTCCGCCTCCCTCTCCCGCTCCCTCCATGCCCTCTCCACCTCCGCTTGCAGCCTGCACAGCAGATAAAAAAACAGCTCAAAGGACGTGGGGGAGAGGACATGAGACTACACAGGACAACTGGAATGACTAAATGTGGTACTATGGGAATTCCCAACTGCCCACTCTTCACCCGACTCACCCTGCTTTCGCAGCTTCAGCCTCCGCCCTTGCCTTCCTCTCAACAGCCAATCGCTCGCCGACACCTGTCAGCTCCTCCTGCAGCCGCACCACCTCCCCCTCCGCCTGCTCCTGCTTCCTGGCTGCGGCGTCTCTCTCCCTCTGCGCCTCCTGCACTCGCCCCTCCCACTCCTGCTGCACCTCCATGCGCGCACTCACCACGCCCTGCCATGTGAATTGCAGGGTGGGTAGAGGCGACACAGAAACAACACTGAAAGTGGCTCCAGGAAAAGACGAGGTGTGAGGAGATAGTGCCCTGTGTCTGATAGTCCCTTGTGACTTAACCCACCCCATGCCCATATGCATCACTCCCTCGCTCCTTTGTCACACTCTCTGCACCACTGGGTGAGTGTGCCCATCCTAAACCCAACGCACACTCACCTCCTCATGCCGTCGCTCCTCCTGCTGCCGCTGACTCAGCATCTCGTCCATCCTCGCCGCCTCCGCGTCCAGCTGCTGCCGGAGCTCCTCATTGGCCCGCCGCAGCTGCTTCATCTCCTCCAGAATCGCCACGTCAGCAGCAGGCAGTGCCACCTCAGCAGGTGAACCTGCTGCAGCAGGAGCAGCACCCGGGACAGCAACAGGCGTGACTGGAGCGAGGGCAGCTCTGCCACTGCCTGGCACGGATGCCCCAGAACCTGCCCCAGAACCTGCCCCAGAACCTTCCCCAGCATCAGAAGAACTGTCAGGAGAAACCGAGCTCGGAACAGCACCCCTTGACCCTCGTCTCCGCTTCGGAACCCTACCCGCTGCCATCCCCCCCTCGTCTGGACCCACTGCTACGGCCTCTGCTCCCAACCCCGATCCTGGGAGCGGTGGGGGCGAGTGCATGGACAGTCGGCGCGCTGCTGCAGGGGAGGAGCGCGGGGGAGGGGGCAGCATCTGGCCTTTCACAGAGGGGGACGCCGCGGGGGTTGTCGTGTGACTGGTACCTGCCCCACATGCCATTGGGCTTGCATCTAACGCCATGGGGGACGGATTAGAGCTCAAGGCCTGAGCCTTCCGCTTCACCAGCACTGTTGCTGGGTCTGCTCCGGCTGCGCCCTCTCCTTGCTCCCTCTTCACACTCACGCCGCGCATGGCACCACTGCCTGCTCCCTCCTTAACTGCCGCTGCGCGCCTGCCTGGAAATTTCCCTGCGGCAGCAGGGGAGTGCAGTCCCCTAGCAGCAGCAGCAGCAGCAGCAGCAGCAGCAGCAGCAGCAGCAGCAGCGCCATTCGCAGCAGCAGGAGAAGCAGATGGCATGGGTGCCCCTTCCACGCGCAAGAAGACAAACGTGTGAGCGACCTCTGCACCGCATGGGGACAAGGTGAAGCACACACACAAGGACAATGTTATGGGCGCCTCAGCAGTCAGCACGTAGACGAAAAAAATCAGATGCAGATGGGCAAATGTGTGAGGGCGGAGGGGGTGATGACAGAGCGACCACATTACGCAGGATAAACGTCTGCATCAGCTGCTCCCACCACTGTATCTGCCGCCCACGCAACTGCATCTGCCGCCCACACACCTGTCTCTGGTGGCCCCACGAGCGACAGCACATCGCCATGCTTAAGCTGCTGGGGGGGTCCGTTCCTCTGCAGCCGAGTGCCATTAATGAACGTGCCGTTGGAGCTGGAAGGTGCGGCAGAGGGAAGGAGAGCACTAGGTGAGGGAGGGTGAGAAAGAGACTACTGATGCCTCAGCTGATGGGGGGGTCCGTTCCTCTGCAGCCGGGTTCCGTTGATAAGCGTGCTGTTGGAGCTGGAAGGCGAGGGAGGTGCGGGAGAGCAAAGGGGCGAGGGAGGTGCGGGAGAGCAACGGGGCGAGGGAGGTGCGGGAGAGCAACGGGGCGAGGGAGGTGCGGGAGAGCAACGGGGCGAGGGAGGTGCGGGAGAGCAACGGGGCGAGGGAGGTGCGGGAGAGCAACGGGGCGAGGGAGGTGCGGGAGAGCAACGGGGCGAGGGAGGTGCGGGAGAGCAACGGGGCGAGGGAAGGAGAGGACGTGAGTACTGATGTAGCCATGCGTGGACTCAACTCAACGTATGAGCAGCAGCAAACATACGGAAAAAAGGTCGTGACTGCATGACAAGCGGCATGCAGCCAGTAAAGTCACACACCTCGTGTCCTTCACCACAACGACGAACGCCTCTCTGATTCCTCCATCCCTCTCAGCTCCTGCTGCTGCTTCTGCCCTTCCTCCCGCAGTTTCCCCCGCTACTAACCCTCCTGCTTCTCCCCTTCCTACACCCACTCTCGCTCCTGCTGCTTCCTCCACCCCAGAAGCCGCTTCTCCCTGGGGGGGGGGGCATGCCCCGCCCGCCTGAGGAGGGGCAGAGGGCTCCCCAGCGGGAGCGGGAGGCTGGGGGAGGCAGGAGATGGTGCAGTGGCGCGCGGAGACGGAGGGGCTGGCGAACTGGAAGGGCGGAGGCACCTGGCGGCCCAGCAGGGTGTCGCGATTCACCAACGGGATGAGCGGGCCCTGCATGCGATGGTCCATGGAAGACCTAGAATTAGCCTGGGACGATGACAAGGTTACAGCTTTTTGGATTAAAACAACGGGCTGTTGTTGCATATTGTAGGAGCGGTGCAGGTGAACGGGGAAGGCTGACGTGGCTTCCATGTGGTGGCTGGCGTACCTTCAGTCGCTGCTTCGCGTTTGCGTTAATTCCGTGGAGAGTTCCCCACTGGCCACGTATGTAACACTTCGGCGACGATTTCGCCAGCTCTTTCGCGAGCTCGTACGGTGAGACCGGCGGCGAGGACGAGCACGACGGAACCCCCGCCGTTGGTGCTGCTGACGTGGCAGGCACCGCGGACCCTGGTGGTGGTTCCGGCTCATTCGCCATCCTCGCTAATATATGCCTAATACCTCGCGCTGGTCCGGCTATCGATGCTGGAACGCTTACGGGTGATGCTTCTATAACCGGCGTCCTGGGTTGTCGGGGAACGTTCGAGCGCGATGCTATTCTGCTGAAAGGACTTGATTCATGAGCGTCGACCGACTGGCGTGACTGATTCGCGAAGCTATTGTCTGATGCTGATGGAAAAGAAGAGCAAGCAAACGGACGACGATAAAAAATGGCCATGATTTACAATAAACAGGCGTTTTTGCTCTACTGCGTCGCGTGAAACAGTCTTGTGCCAAACTCGCACTCCTTTGAAATACATGGTGGGTCACTTTTAGAAATCCAAGAAAGAGGCGTCAACACGCAAGTGGAAATAGCGTCGAAGTGACGAAGAGCGAGAGGCTTCAGGGAGACGCTACACGAAGCACGCGAAAGTGTGGTGAGGTATGTGGAGAGCTGGGTGGGGAGAACTGCGATGACTTCTAAGCGGAGGGAGTGTAAATCGCAGAGAGCGAGGCTGGTGTCAGGAGTTAGTAACGTTCATGACGATCCCGTGGCGTGAAGCTAACGTCACAATCCTTTCCCGCCAATTTCTGAGTGCGGTGTGTGAGTGGAGATGTACGAAATGTAATATGAAGGTATAGACTGCTCTCAAAATCCTTGTTTTGCATTCTTCATAACGAGGATGCAATGCGTTCGTATGGCTGTGCCATCCTCCGCCACCTGGACGAGGCAAATCTTTCCAGTATCTCCAGCTTGGAAAGTTGTGCTCTCCACCAATACCTAAATTCCACCTCTCAATCTGCAGGAAGATGAACCAAGGCCTAGAGTGACACAATCGATGGCAGCGACTAGGAATGATCAGCCTCTCTGCGGGGCGAATTTCGGGGATTTCCAGGTTCCTGGGTCAGAGGCAATCTGTTTCACTGATCGACAATTTCGAGGTTCACTCTAATCAGGAATCAATCCTTCCGCTGACCTTGAGGAAGAACCAGATACTTCACCATCGATTGAGGTGACAGCTTCCATAAACTCTTTCAGGAACCAAGTTTCTGAATCGCAGTTTCTTAAGTATCAACCATGGCTTGCACAGCGTCGACCTCCGCTCTCTCGTGCACAGCAGTCGTCGCATTGACGCCACAAAGCAGCGCGACACGGTATGCCGAAAGCGGTTCGCTAGAAAGTTTGGAGACACTCTACTCTCGTTAGCAGCCTTCACTCACGTATTGCAAGTAGTAGACCAAACACACCCGCCGACTCATCAACTCTTCTTCCATTTCCCGACCTGCAGGACCGCTGCAACTCTCAGCTGCAAGAACGCGTTCGGCAGCAGCCTTCGCCTGACAAGCCGATCGCATGCTGCGAGGCCTCAGTCGCAGCGCCGCGTTGCCGTGGTGTCGCCGCGAGCGGTGGACATTCTGACGTGGGACGAGGCGAAGGAGGCGGTGGACAAGGACGGGTACACCATCGTGGACATCCGTGACGTCACGCAGTACGATCGCGCCAGGATTCCCGGGAGCATTCACATTCCCGCGTTTATCCTAAACACCGACAATGACGTTGGTATGTGAATGGCCTTGCGCGGTCCCTGCCGAAGCCGTATGCTGCTGCACTGGCACAAATCAAATTCCTCCAGTGCGTTTCATCCCTCAACGTTGGTGTCATTACTCGAGTTAAGCTTTTTCCCGCGCATTCCCTTCTCTCCGCCAGGCACGATGATCCGACGGGCGGCTCACACGAGCATGCCCGGCAATCTGTACGGGCTGGCGTTCACCAAGCCCAACCCGGACTTCATCTCCACCATCCGCTCCAAGTTCTCCTCGCCTGACGCCAAGATTCTCTTCGTCTGCCAAGAAGGCCTCCGGTAAGATTATAAGTACTATCATTAGTATTCGTTCTGCTGCAAATGTTCCTCAACGGACGAAGACGAGCGAAGAAATTGGTCCCTAATTGCAAACCCTTGGTTTCCCTTAAATATGTGAAAAAGAAAATCAATAATAATTTACCATTTCAGGATTTCAATTTGAGCCTTGATTTTGCCACCTTCATCCGCCACTGTTCCCCAGCTCGCTGTCCGTGGCGTCGGACCTGGAGAGGCTCGGATACACGGACATTGTTGTCACGGAGGGCCTCAACAAGCTCAAGCCAGGTGAGCGCCGTTTTGCTACAATCCAAAGAATGGCAAGCCTATCAGAACGGAAATTCGAATTACGAGCCACAGATGACTAGGAAGTTCGTGTGTCTTATGCCTTGATGTTGTTCGGTTTAATCTCATTTTGCATGTGCCTTCCGTCTACTTAATACGCTGCAGGAGTGTTCCCCAAGGAGGGCGAGAGGGAGCTTCAGAACGCAGGAAAGGGAGGGTTTGTTTCCATTCAGAAGGAATTCTCCATCATTCTCGGGTCTATCCTCATCTGTGAGTGCCACGGCCTTCGCTGCATTGTATTTGCAATGACAACTAACATCGTGCTGCCTTTCATTGCGCTAGATGCGATTGCTGATGTCACTTTGACTCATTCAAAGTGGAGCAGTTGTTTTGTAATCATACCCTGTTATCCCCTTCCCTGTAGCCAAATGTGACTTGTCCTCTCCCAGATTGGCCATCTCTTGCATTGCGTGCATAGCTTGCTTTCATATCGTGCTCTCCACTGTCCCATGTCACATCCCCTGTCACATCCCTGCAGGCGCCATTCTCTTCCTCAAGTTCTTCCCAGAGCAGGCTGAGGTCATCTTTGGCGGCCTGTAAGGATCTCCAAGACAGTGCGTTGCAGCTGGTCCTGCTCTCACCTTAGACTTGTACCGTACTAGTAGGAGATTATGTTTATACTAGAGCAATGTACCCTATTCCGCCTAAAGCCTTCTGTCAAGTGCACTTGGCAGCCCACGCTGAAACGTAACACCGTCATATAACTAGAAATTATGCAGGAATGCTCTGCATATTCACATGCTGGACCAGTATCACCTGTTCTAAATTCAGGTGTACAGCCAGTGTACCTATGCACTGCGTACCATGCTAGTAACGCAGTCAATGTCGTTTCTCATACTCTTCCACCAGTATTCCCAGTCATTGAAACACACAATCCAGCGTGACGTTGTATTTATCCTTCACCACAAGAAAAAAAGGGAATGATGCGTTGTGGGATCAAATGGAATCGTTGCAAGACTTACAGGGAAAAAAAAATTAGGATGACGTGTGTTCATTAGTTGGTTAGAGTGGTCTTCTTTACGACATGTTTTTCTATGTATGTCATTTTCTAGTCTACCTTTGCACTCCACCTCTTCCGGTCATTACAATTATTATTGAGTTCATCAGGGAAGCTAGCAGGTGTCAGAAAGTCAGTTGTAACTACAAAGATGCGAATCGGAGACCTTTCGCCATCTTCGCGCTTGTCTCCCAAACAATTCCCATCCGCTGGTCAGCATCAGGGAGTGGATCAGCTCAACCCCCAGATCTCAACCGCAGCTGCTTGCCTAGATTCTTTATCCACGGCTGGAATTTACTTCACTCCGTGGTTGGAACAAGTCCTTCGAATTCAAACCATTGGGTTTGCCGCGTTCCAAACTGACACGATGACTCTGCGACTCCAGATCAGACCACAATCGACGGTTCCTAGGTCAAGGGGTCCAACGTTCACCAGCGAAATCCCGCGACTCCCGCCTTTGTCAACGGAATCTTGCTGAAAAAAGGTCGGTCTTTCGTCTCGTGTAGCCGCTGAGGTGAAAGGAAGGGACAAGCGAACGGCGTATACTTAGCAGTTTCCTCCCTGATCGGCAGAATCATGTGCCACGCGGATGATTCTCAACCGGCCAGCGAAGTAGACTCGCGAATCTCCCTCTTATGGCAAACATTCAGCCTGACCGGGCCAACCATTCGCACCCGCCGTCACTGCTCGTCGCAAACCCATTGCAGCCGGTTAACTTGTAGACCAATGAGGAAGTGGTAGGGTTGCGGTGACGAAACACGCAAAATGTCCGAACCTACGGTTGCGATCTGTGTTACCAAGAGAGTTTCAGACAATCCAGCGATTCTGGACGGTAGATCTGAAGAGGGTTGTTGTGAGGAGAGGAGAGGAGAGGCAGTTGGTGACTCCGCCTCATTCCAGTGTCACCGTCGTCTCTCACCTCATTCTCGCCTGAGCCTCGAATTTCACAGCGTTTTCGCCTCTTGCTCTCATTTTCTCACGCTCAGCTTCTTCTGCTCGCTTTCTAAGAGCTCCTTCGACTGCGGAAAGGCGAGCCGCTAGTGAAGCTGTTTTTAAGCAAGCTCGAGGCAATTTGCTTCAGGCCTAGCCTCGTTCACGGGAAGAGAAATTCGGGAGTTGGCGTCATAACTCCTCCATAAATTGGAAACTGGCGAAAGTCCGTCCTTGGCGTTGCCATAATTTCCACATTTGCGATTACGGAAAAACAAGCGCGGGAATGGCGTTTTGGGAAAATAAGGTAAATCTGAGTGCATATGCTTATACTTCGCGTATTCGAGTCTTATTTAGTGGTGTGACATGCTTACGTTTTAGCGTCGAACTTGACGAGAGCTTGCTGGCTGCATGTGCAGGTTTGCTGCGGGCTCCGCATCGGAGGCGACAAGTCACTTCAACCACCATCTGGCACCATCTGCCTGTCTGTGCGATTTCGGCGAGTACGTGCGATTTTGGGGAGTGCGTGCGAGTTCAGATTGGCTCAAGTCCTTCGTCTGGCAGCTGAGGTATTTCCGAAATCCACACCATGCAGAGAGTCAATTCGCAAATCGATTTCGCGGAACATGAATTCGCGAATCAATGTATGTCTCCCGTCTGAATTTCTCGTTTCAGTTTCACGTATCGATCTTGGGGAACCTATTCACCAATAGATTTCGCACATGCTTGCCACGTTTCAGTTTCCCGTTTCAATCCCGCGAATCAATTCTAGTTTTAAGTTCGCGATCTAATTTCGCACATCGATTTCGCATGTTACGCTTCACATGTAACTTCACTGGCGCACGCGTCTGTCCATCCACTGCAAGTCGCCGTGCGCCACCTCCCCCGGAAGAGTGCCATGCCACGCTGGTGGGTGCCTGAAGCAGTCCATCCGGGCCCTGGTGGCTTTCGATTCAGCAGGTCCCCCTCCTGGGATGTTCATACGGCGCGGCTCGGGAAAAACCCCGCCCACGCCTTGGGATGCACGGGGCGCGGAGAAATCGCGGGGAGCGTGGGGCGAAGTCGGCCACCCAGGATCCCACCAGGTTTGGACCTAGCGCGGCCCTGCGTGGCTGAGTGAAACCCACCAGGCTGCCACCGAAAGCTCCGCGGCCCCCAGAAAACCGAAAGAACCCACCTCGTTCTTACGCGCCGATGCATGCGCGACTCGGCAGAAAACGAACGCGATTGGTCAGTAACATTGACGAGCGGGATATCCCGCGCATGCAACCGCGAGTTCGCGACACAAAAGGAGTGCTACTACTGGTTGTGCTCTCTCGCAACTTATTGCGAACAAAATTCGCACAAGCATAGGTTCGTTAACCCGCATAGCGAGATCCGGTTCGGTTACAGCTGGCGCGACCTGGCAGGCTCCATGCCAGCTGACACGTGCCGCAATTTGAACGAGCCACACAGCTGTGTGTTCGTTTGGTCGATGCGCGATCGCGGTAACGTGTCAAGCACGTCCACGCAGTGTCCGATCATTACGCCGAGCACGCCCACAGTGTCCACTTTCCGATCGCCAGTTGCACACCAAGCTCTACCCCCTCACGACCCACTGGGATACACCAGACACCAGTATCGCGGTCGCGTTGTGTGCCGCGCTAGAATTTCCGCGAGCACATCGGTCGCGAGGCAGACACGTCTAGCTCACACCCGGGTGGACAACTAGTGACCGCACATCATGTTGACGCACGCTGTGAATACGAGTAGGTGCAATCTCGCACGCCGCATGCATACCGTGAATCGCGTTGCGGCACCAATACTTCACGACTCAATCAATGCTTCGGGCAACACAACCGCGCATCAAATCCATAATGCTAAACCACCTACCGCTCCCGTGCATGGGGTGAACGCGCTCAACCCCACATGGAGCACCCCATACGTGCAACCACTGGTTTTTGGGTCCCGGACGCCCACGTTTCACCCACAGCAACTGGTCAACGGGCTCCACCTAGCACCGCGGCCACAAATACCGTTTGCGGCAGCGGCGGTCGCGTTACAGAATCAACCGGGTAATGCGGCCGCGTCCTCGTCCGTGCCCAGTAGCCAGCTCTTTGGGATGCCCGTGCGTGGCTTCGTAGGGCCGCAGTACTCGAACGTGGGATTCAGGTACGGGTACATCGGCGTTCAACCAGACCCCATGGTGCACGCACCCGCATCTGTCGCGACGCCTCCTGTCGCGCCGTCAACACCATTCTCCAGCGCGATTCATCCGGAAAGCCAGCCAGCGGTGCAAGCCCCGCCAGAAGCATTAGTTGGCGGTTTGGACACACAGGCGCGAACAGACGGCCCATCATCGAACGCGGTTGCCGGTGGTTTAGGGCGTGCGGTGAATGGTGAACCGGGGGTGAATGCAAGCGCGCGTGCACATTCGCCGCCAATATGGAACGTCAACTCACTGTTGCCCGAAAACCCCGACGTCCACATCCGCACCCCCGCGCATCCGACTGTAGCGTACGCGACTGGTGTAGGTGGGCAACTACAGGGGAACGCGAGGAACGCGGGGCGTGGAGCGGGTGCAAGCGGAAACGCGGTAAGGGGAAGAGGGACGGGTGCGAGAGGGAACGCGGGAGGAGGGACAGGGGAGAGAGGGAACGCGGCTAGAGGGAGAGGTGCGAGACGAAGGGGTGGGAGAGCGATTGCGGGACGTGGGACAGGTGCTGGAACGAACGAGTATAGTGCGAACGGCCAGGGAGCGCATGGGGTGACACATAACGGCGGCCGGGGTAGCGGTGTTAACGAAAACGGCGGGTCAGGTAACGGGCCAGTTAATAGACCGCGTATAAAGAGGCGGAGAGTCGATGTAGTGCCGCACACGGCACGCAATGGCTCCCGGGAGGGGAGCGAGGGGACAAGCGATGAGGATGACGAGGACGACGCGTACGATGCGGACGATAGTTGGAATGAGGATGACGAAAACTACCTAACCAACTCGCTGTCCGCGCTCAACGAGGAGGAGGCGGAAGACTACGAACGGGTGCGGGGTACGCGGAGGGACATTGAGGTCCCTATCGCAGATTGGAACAGGCTAGGTGTGGACGACACGCCGGCCGCGAAACGAGAGATGTGTTACGGAATCCTCTACGGTGTCTCTGAGGCCACGCTGAAGAAGTATCGCGGTTGGGCCAACGAGTACAAGCGGTTCATGGCTCACGAGCTGCCTAAACTGGACGCGGGTAGGTTTGGTGATGAGGCCGCGCTGAGAAACGCGAACCCCGACGAGATTGGGGCCGCGCTCGATCAGAACATGGGTGGTGACTGGAAGATGGCGGAGAGCGACGAGCAGTGGTTCCACGGCCCTGAGACGAATCCGTGGCGCTTACGCAAATACGTGACCTTCCTCGCGAACGAGACAGTTGCGCAGGCGGACAGGATGGCCACACTCAAGCGGCCGCAGAAGACCTTGAAGAAGAGACGCCAGTGCACCCCGGCAATGCTGATGGGGCGTCTCAAGGCTTTGAACCTGCTCATCAAGCTGGACGGGGCCATCTTCAGGAAGCCCGTTCTGAACCTGCTGCGCGACTTTGCGGAGTGTCGCATCTGGGTCCGCGTTCAAGTACGCGACCAATACAAGCGGTTTATCGCGTAAGTATACGTTCTCAGTGAACGCGTTTAATGCCTGACAATCCCGCGTCCACTAACACCCGCACTATCATCCCAATCCATGCGCAGGGAACACATGGATCGCCATCGGGGCACGGCCGCGGACACGTACACCCCGGACGAGTTCAAGCATATGATGCGGAAGACCAGCATGGACGCGATCTTGACCAGCTTCACACTAGCCAAGAAAGCATACACGCAGGCAATGCATCGCGACCTCTGCATCCGGACGATGACCGTGCTCGGTCATCACACTCTGGCCCGCGGATGCACGATCAGAAACCTGCAGTTGCCAGACATGATGATGTGGAAGCTAGGCGCAAAATCGGAGACCGATCCAGTTAGAATCGCGTCCATGTTCGTTTGCGCGTGCAGGACGGGCAAGACAAACAAGGACTTCTCGCTTAACTACATATCTGCTGTGAGGCACATCGATTGGACGCTGTGCGCGGTCGGAGCCACGCTGCTGTGGCTGCACTGGGTGTACGACTTGGTTCCCATCCTCTATGAGGACATAGCCCCCCCTCTCGACTTCACGGAACCCTCCACGTGGTACGATCAATACCTGTTCTTCCCCCTTCGCGCGGGCAACGAGAAGCAAATACCGCCCACGACTCATCACGACTGGGCGGCGAAAATACTCCAAGACGCGGGAATCACATGCTCGCGTGCGGTACACGCGACCAGGGCTGGGGGGGCGCAGCACGCGTCCGCGGACGGAATGCCTTCGGATCAGCTGGCGAGGCTGGGGGGTTGGCGCTTCATCGACGTGATGACTAAGCACTACCTCACAACCATTCCAAGGGAGGCCGTGCTGCTGAAGGCGGGCTTCACCGGGGTTGACGGTGACTACTTCCTGGGTCGCGAAACTGTTCCGGTCAGCGATAAGCTGGATGAGCTACTGAGGAAGCACATTTTCCCATGGGCCGCCGCGGACAAAGGACAGCAACAGGTATGTGTGGTCCGCGCATACGCGACCGCGAGCATCTCACATACCACTCTGGCACCGCGTTCACTACCTTGTTGTTTTATTGTCACAGTGCAAGGATTACAACCGCAGGATGGTGAAAACGCAGAAGCCGGAGAAGCAGGACACCGCGGGGCTAAACATACTGAAGGAGCTGGATGGGGACGCTAGGATGGCGGTCGCGCAAGACCTGGCGATGTATTACATCCACCAGCCGCGACACCCGTACGTGGTCAACAATCCGCTCTGCCAGACGGAGGAATTTGCGTCGTGGGCTGCAGATGTCTCATTGGCAAATCAACTCGCCATAGTACAGCGCAACACACCTACACTGACCCAGCCCGCAGTAAGTACTGAATGGTCGCGTTATGTTCTTCCGTGATGTCAATGCCAAACCATAACAAGTTCGCGGTCGCTTTCTGTCCATGCAGGAGGTGAGTACCAGAATGGACGCGCAGAACCAAGTGACCGTCCTCACTGAGTACTTGACTCGTTCACAAGCGCAGAACACCAGACTGGGCCTAGAGTTGGTCGCGACTCATAAACGGGTGAAAGAGCTGGAGGGGCTGCTGGAGGATCGCGATCGGAAACTGGCCGAGAAGGAGGAGCGCGTGAATGATTTGGAGGCTCAGCTGTCGCGGCTCACCGTGAGCAGCTCAGGGCCGGCCGCGGTTCCGAACTAGGCAACCACTCCTGGAGCCGCGGCCGCGTCGACCAATGCCACAACTCCCACCGAGCAGGGGACGCGGAAGAAACCCGCAGCGCCCACCAGGGAACAGACAATTCGGGACGCGATCGTCCTTCCATGGGTCAACGCCACCAAACCGTCAGACGGATGGAAGCTGTACAAGACAACGCACCCGCTGATCCTCGAGAGTCCAGAGTCGCTTCTGGCCCAGCCCCGCGGCGCAGTTACGCGAATGGCCGCGCTCATTGGGGAGGAGGGAGGCGGTCAGAACGCGATAAACCGTGTTAAGCGAATCATGAACTTCATCGCCCACAGGGTGGAGCAAGGAGACGACATCGCGGTAGTGCTCGACAAGCTCGACCTCATGTCAGGTGCTGTGGGCATGTCGGGTGTATCGGAAGGGGTCGCGGTAAAGAAGAAGAGTGTTGACCTGGAACTGAGCCAGCTGAAGAAAGGTTCTCCGATGGAGGTGCAGTTGCGTGTGAAATGGATGCTTGTTCGCGACCGTCTCATCAATGCCTCACTTCCCGCTTCTGAGTTCACAGTCGCGTGGCCCCAGTACTGAGCGCTGATGCCACACTTGCAGTGTTGATGTTTTGCGCGAGGATTATGCTGATTTACATCGCGGCCGTGGTAATCGCGGGCTGCAGTTGCCTAATGTACATAGATTGTTCGAGACGTAGTGTGTACAATGATAATGTGTGGGAATACCTGAGACGAATGCAGATTACTACTAAAATGGCACACGCGCAAACACACGCACCCACTGAATCCTACAAACCTACACATATTGTTCCAAATGTCAACACTAGGTTCTCACTCGCACACGCACACGCACACACACACACACACACCCACACACACAAACACACACGATTTACTACATGCACCAGCACAATCCACCGCGAGTAGAACTCAAGCATGGCGGACAGGCTGTGCACATGCTACTCGATACTACACGCACTCAAGTCCGCTTCTTCAGACGATCCTTGGGCAGGGCAAGGTACAAACCCAAGGACTCGATCTGCTTCCCTGCCACCGAGCAGTCGCACCAGGTGATGATAACGTCCACCGTCTCGCGGGCGGCCAACTCAATGTGCCTGAGATCGCGAGACTTTGCCACGACCTCGTTCACGACTCCGGACACGATCGCGGCGGCGACCGCCTTCGGGTCCGCGACAACCTGTGGCTCATCTTCCTCGCGGCGATTGCGCTTCCGTACCGCATTGATGACGTACGCGGATACTACGGGGAAGAGACGGCTTCGCTCTCCATAGCAACCAGTAGCACGCGCGGCCAGGTTTCCATTATCCGCCGCGGCAGTGACGTTAGAACCGCGAGTGACCTCCCACACCATTGCAATGGCGCATGCGATCGCTCCCGCGTAGTCCGTCGGCTCCACGTCGCCGAGATCCGCTTCTTCTGCTGCAGCCTCCTTGCCTACCACCGCGGCCCATGCAATCACGTTGGTGGTGTGCATTCCGGGCTTGGTAAGCCCGCGGTAGGAATCGAACATGCGTTGCCACCTGCCACGCAGTGGGTTGGAGCGGTCAGAACATAATAACATACCAAACCGTGTGAACGCACTAGATGATGGTGGATTGGCACAGCTCACCTGTCCTTGCTTGCCACGAGGTTGCGGTGGTGCATGGTGATTAAGAGGCCCGTATGTAACCCCTCTGCGATAGACAGGTCCGCGGCCCATTCTCGGATCTGCTTCTGGCTCAGGTTCAGCCCGGGGTCGACCTTCCCGTCGTAGGGATACATCGCGATCGCGGTCTTGTACTGCAGGTCTTCGCGGTCGCCGTGTCCGAGCCATCGCTTCTTCCCCCCGAGATGGGGTTCAGAAACCAATCCTGGCCCGCCCCTGGGTGGAGCGCGGATGCCGCAGCCCTTGCGCTTGGGGCCGGTGTCACCATGTCCTCCCGTTGTGCCACTTTCCACGATCACGGGGTCTCCTTCTTGCCCGCTCGCGCTCTCTCCGCCGCTATAAATATCGACCGCGGCCTCCCCATCCTTCTCTCCTCCGTCGCCCGCCTCGACCCACCTGCTCACTAGACCCTCCAGCTCCTTATCCGCATCGTCCTCGTCGATCGTGTACACGGGTGGAGTGGGCAACTTCTTGCCACCCCGTCCGCGTTTCTCTGCCTTGCCCTCGACCGAGGCCGCGATAGGACTTGCAGATGCCAGTGCGCTGTGCAGATGTCCCGCGGTGATTGCAGCACGAGCGGGTGCGAGCGTGGTCTGCCTGCCCTCTGCCGCAGCACCCGCCGCGGACTGGACCTCACGCCTCGAGGCCAGCGAACGCGCAGCAGCCGGCGCCTCTCCATCCTCCGCCTTACCCTTGCCCCGTCCCACAGTACTTGTCACTGGCGAGGTTGCCCCGGCAGGGCCCGATGGTTTGGGTGCAGCTTCTCTAGGTGGGATGGAGCGCGAGCTCGAACCCGGTTGACCAGTCGGTGCTGCACCTCGCGATGCAGCGCCCCACTTCTGCTTCAGCATGTCCTGCACGCTCGGATTGCGCACCGCGGCCGCTGCCTGGGGACCTCTCTGCCTCTTCGCCCCCCGTTGATTCTCCGCCTTCGCACCCGCTGCCCTCTTTCCATGCTCTGCATCCCCGGGCTCGGCAATCTCCGTCGCGGCCGTTCCTTCATTATCCGTGCGCGGAGGGGGGGCTCCTCCAACGAGCGCGATGAGGGTGTGCAGCGCGTTCGTGACCCCGCTGGTGGTGATTGCCCGCTCTGCTGTCGCGGAGACCGCGGTCGACATGTTGTCGATCTTCCGCGCAACCTCGTCCGTCAGCTTCTTCTGAGCGGCTTCCATGGAGTCTGTCACCACCCCCTGCAGCTGTCCCAGCCTCGCGTCCACTCGCCCCAGCACCACCGCCTCCTGGTTACGGGTATCGACCAGGGCCGCCCTTTCCTGCGCGATCGCCCTCGCCTCCTTCTCCAACACCCGAACCGCATTAGCAAGCGCGGACGCAAGCTCCTCAGAGCCTACGACCGCGACACCACCAACCCCCGACTCCTGGCGTTTCTTCAGCCGTGCGTTCTCTTCGGCCAGCTCTGCAAGCCTGCAGTCGAGCTGCAGGATCTCGGCAGCAAGCTTATGCGATGGCAACAAGGACAGGGACGCGTAATCACGCGGACCTGTCACGGGAATCTTGCACGCGACCTCACCACTCGGGCCCGCGCTTCCAGCACCGGGGGCCAAGTGCTGCGCGAGGTGCTTGATGCTCTTGCCGGATGTAGCGGGCCTGCTGGATGCCGCGGCCACTACCACATGAGCCTCTGCCTCCTCCTCGCTCGACTCCTCCCCCTCACGCGCAACAGCGCGGTCAGCCTCATCGCGGGTTGCACCCTTTGTCGCGGTATCCTCGGCCCCTTCGTCATCAGCGTGGACCACCGTCCCCCCCCGAGCACCTCCACGATTCGAAACACCAGCGGCACCTGTGAGAGCGAGAACACCATGGTCAGCAACCTGCGCACCCGTAGCCTCTTTATGCACATTCCCCGTTTCAGCACCTTCAGCCTCACCGCCGTGCATGGGTCGCGTCAAGTCCACGCTCAAGTTGAACGCGAGCTCTTCGGCGGTGTGGTACGCCTCGTGCCGCAGTGCATTCAGAGTCTTCGCGGTTGGCCTCGAGAATTGCGGCCCAGATCCACTGGCGGCGACCGCGTCCAACTGGGCAAGGATCTTGTCGAAAGCGAACAGACAAGCGATGTTGCCGCAGGAGCCCTTCAATGACGTCGCGTCCTGGAAAACATTACATGGGGTTTGTTAGCACCACTGCAACTATTGGCGGTCATCGAGAACACGAAAACAACACAGACGTACCAGATCCAACAGACGCTCGGGATCCTTAAGCTGGCGGGAGCGGGTGCACTGAATGGAGCCGCGCGCAAAATCCTCGTCGACGCGACCCTGAAACCACCTGCCCAAAAGCACATACATATCCACGCGAACGCACGGTTAGCGACATGAGCCTCGGAGCGGAAATGAACGTGGTACTGATGACAAACCAGAACGCGGTACTCACTCCACAATCGCATCAGCCGCGGTCACGTGTTCCGCACCACCAGTGGGAATAGCAACGCGAACGAACCGCGTGTTCCACGTCTCGTCACCGTCAAGCGACAGGTGGTCGGGGTGAAGCAGAATGAGCATGCTCGCGTTCGAGCTCTTCTTGTCGACCACGTCCCTGAACGTGCCATTGACGACCGCGTTAAACCACTTAAACGAGTGCAATCCCTGTACAAGTGAACACTCCCAATGAAAACTCACTCGGACCAGATGCAGAAAACCACCAGGCCTCACTCCATCAAACCGGCAAAGGCTTGGTCCGCTTCATCGCGACCCGCGACTATGTCCGCGACAACACAGCTCGTCACTATTCGGACGTGCTCATGCACCTCCTTCTCCAGATACCTCCGGACAATCACGCTGTGCGGGACGGTGTAAAACAAGGCGGCAAAAGCTCAAACATCAACAACGCGACCTAAAAGCACAGCGGAGGTATGCCGCGGCCTGCACTGCCCACTAGTAACTATCGCTGACATGTCGCGAACAGCCTAAGCACCGCGACAATAACCAACGCGTGCACACTAGAGTCAGGGAATGGAACGCATGGATCTCACCCGGTGACAAAGTCGAACAGACCCGCATGCAGGTCCCTAGCGAGATCCGAGCGGCGGAGCAGGCTGGCGGGGTGGTCCCGCGCCACGCAGCGTGGTCCCAACCCCGGGCCCCCCCCTCGGGCCCAGCCATGGCTCGCGAAACCCCTCGCGAAACCCCTCGCTCTCCAATCCGAGGGCGAGGGCCGAACCCCGGCGCGCCGAGACGGATCCGGCCAATCGGAGCCGTTTCCGACTGGTCCGTCCCTCGGGAGAACCCTCGCAAGGCATTTCGCATGCGAATCCGCGCGTGCGAATGGCAGTTCGGGCTGGCCGAAACGGATTCGGCCAATGGGAGCCGGTTTCGGAGCGACGGGCGAAGCCATCTCCGTGCTGCCCGAAATGGAGCCGGCCAATCGCCGTCGTTTACGAGCGTCAGAATGCTCGCAGGACCCTCGCGAACAATCGTTCGCGAAAAGATTAAATGTACGGAGCGGAGTGTACGCCATTCGAAAGATCAAACGAAATAAATCTTATTTTTTTTTTCTTTATAAATCTCTCTAATGCATCGGGGAACCATTCAGTTGCGAGTTGACGTGTAATATAACGGAGTGTACTGTTAATTCGAGTGGCCCTAATTGGTGTACCCGATCGTTGCCTCGGACCTCGGCGGTCGCGGCGAGGAAAATTCTCTCTCCGCGGGAGTTGGCAGCCCGCTCCGAACGGGGCTCGCGGATGGTGTGCAACGTGGCGGACGTTGGATGCACAAGCGTGCATGTTGCGGAACCTCCCCGCTGGGTGAGAGGCCCGCGCAGTGTGACCGCGAGTGCCGTCTCTTGTTTCCATCTCGGCCCACTCTTAGGTTCTCGGTACGGGCACCTGGTGCTCATTTTCGTTCTCCGTCTTCACATCTTGTTTTCTTCCTGCTCGCCCGTTCCCCGTAGAGTTCCTCGTCGCCTAGTGCTAGCAGAGACTCTGCTTGGCCGCGTTCGCGCTTGGTAGCGTCTAGCGTAGCTCTCATTTTCTGCCGCGAGCACAGTTTCGCGTACTGTTCGTCCTAGATACACGCGAGCACTGTTTCGCGTACGTTTCGTCCTAGATACACGGTACCTTTGGTCGCGCTTTTGCGGTCGTACCAGTTATGAACCGCGAAATGAAGGCGCTTAGAGCTGGGTCAAAGGAGGCCGCCTCCTGTCCGGCCATCATCTCTGTTGCGGGAGCCACGGTGGACCTCCCCCCCGAACAGTGGAAGCTGCTCGCAGAGGATAAGCATCCTCTCACGGCCCGTCTGTTCGACTTTGTCACCGGGTGAGATCCATGCGTTCCATTCCCTGACTCTAATATGCACGCGTTGTTTATGGTCGCGGTGTTTAGGCTGTTCGCGACATGTCAGCGATATTTACTAGTGGGCAGTGCAGGCCGCGGCATACCTCCGCTGTGCTTTTAGGTCGCGTTGTTTATGTTTGAGCTTTTCCCCGCCTTGTTTTACACCGTCCCGCACAGCGTGATTGTCCGGAGGTATCTGGAGAAGGAGGTGCATGAGCACGTCCGAATCGTGACGAGCGGTGTTGTCGCGGACACAGTCGCGGGTCGCGATGAAGCGGTCCAAGCCTTTGCCGGTTTGATGGAGTGCAGCCTGGTGGTTTTCTGCATCTGGTCCGAGTGAGTTTTCAGTGGGAGTGTTCACTTGTACAGGGATTGCACTCGTTTAAGTGGTTTAACGCGGTCGTCAATGGCACGTTCAGGGACCTGGTCGACAAGAAGAGCTCGAACGCGAGCATGCTCATTCTGCTTCACCCCGACCACTTGTCGCTTGACGGTGACGAGACGTGGAACACGCGGTTCGTTCGCATTGCTATTCCCACTGGTGGTGCGGAACACGTGACCGCGGCTGATGCGATTGTGGAGTGAGTACCGCGTACTGGTTTATCATCAGTACCACGTTCATTTCCGCTCCGAGGCTCATGTCGCTAACCGTGCATTCGCGTGGATATGTATGTGCTTTTGGGCAGGTGGTTTCAGGGTCGCGTCGACGAGGATTTTGCGCGCGGCTCCATTCAGTGCACCCGCTCCCGCCAGCTTAAGGATCCCGAGCGTCTGTTGGATCTGGTACGTCTGTGTTGTGTACGTGTTCTCGATGACCGCCAATAGTTGCAGTGGTGCTAACAAACCCCATGTAATGTTTTCCAGGACGCGACGTCATTGAAGGGCTCCTGCGGCAACATCGCTTGTCTGTTCGCGTTCGACAAGATCCTTGCCCAGTTGGACGAGGTCGCTGCCAGTGGATCCGGGCCGCAATTCTCGAGGCCAACCGCGAAGACTCTGAATGCACTGCGGCATGAGGTGTACCAAACCGCCGAAGAGCTCGTGTTCAACTTGAGCGTGGATTTGACGCGACCCATGCAAGGCGGTGAGGCTGAAAGTGCTGAAATGGGGAAGGTGCAGAAAGTGGCTACGGGTGCGCAGGTTGCTAACCATGGTGTTCTCGCTCTCACAGGTGCTGCTGGTGTTTCGAACCGCGGAGGTGCTCGGGGGGGGACGGTGGTCCACGCTGATGACGAAGGGGCCGAGGATACCGCGACTAAGGGTGCAACCCGCGATGAGGCTGATCGCGCTGTTGCGCGTGAGGGGGAGGAGTCGAGCGAGGAGGAGGCGGAGGCTCACGTGGTAGCGGCCGCGGCATCCAGCAGGCCCACTACATCCGGCAAGAGCATCAAGCACCTTGCGCAGCACTTGGCCCCCGGTGCTGGAAGCGCGGGCCCGAGTGGTGAGGTCGCGGGCAAGAGTCCCGTGACAGGTCCGCGTGATCACGCGTCCCTGTCCTCGTTGCCATCGCATAAGCTTGCTGCCGAGATCCTGCAGCTCGAATTCAGGCTTGCAGCGCTGGCCGAAGAGAACGCACGGCTGAAGAAACGCCAGGAGTCGGGGGTTGGTGGGGTCACGGTCGTGGGCTCTGAGGAGCTTGCGTCCGCGCTTGCTAATGCGGTTCGGGTGTTGGAGAAGGAGGCGAGGGCGATCGCGCAGGAAAGAGCGGCCCTGGTCGATACCCGTAACCAGGAGGCGTTGGTGCTGGGGCGAGTGGACGCGAGGCTGGGACAGCTGCAGGGGGTTGTGACAGACTCCATGGAAGCCGCTCAGAAGAAGCTGACGGACGAGGTTGCGCGGAAGATCGACAACATGTCGACCGCGGTCTCCGCGACAGCAGAGCGGGCAATCACCACCAGCGGGGTCACGAACGCGCTGCACACCCTCATCGCGCTCGTTGGAGGAGCCCCCCCGCCGTGCACGGATAATGAAGGAACGGCCGCGACGGAGATTGCCGAGCCCGGGGATGCAGAGCTTGGAAAGCGGGCAGCGGGTGCGAAGGCGGAGAATCAACGGGGGGCGAAGAGGCAGAGAGGTCCCCAGGCAGCGGCCGCGGTGCGCAATCCGAGCGTGCAGGACATGCTGAAGCAGAAGTGGGGCGCTGCATCGCGAGGTGCAGCACCGCCTGGTCAACCGGGTTCGAGCTCGCGCTCCATCCCACCTGGAGAAGCTGCACCCAAACCACCGGGCCCTGCCGGGGCAACCGCGACAGTGACAAGTACTGTGGGTCGGGGCAAGGGTAAGGCGGAGGATGGAGAGGCGCTGGCTGCTGCGCGTTCGCTGGCCTCGAGGCGTGGGGTCCAGTCCGCGGCGGGTGCTGCGGCAGAGGGCAGGCAGACCACGCTCGCACCCGCTCGTGCTGCAATCACCGCGGGACATCTGCACAGCGCACTGGCATCTGCAAGTCCTATCGCGGCCTCGGTCGAGGGCAAGGCAGAGAAACGCGGACGGGGTGGCAAGAAGTTGCCCACTCCACCCGTGTACACGATCGACGAGGACGATGCGGATGAGGAGCTGGAGGGTCTCGTGAGCAGGTGGGTCGAGGCGGGCGACGGAGGAGAGATGGATGGGGAGGCCGCGGTCGATACTTATAGCGGCGGAGAGAGCGCGGACGAGCAAGACGGAGACCCCGTGATCGTGGAAAGTGGCACAACGGGAGGACATGGTGACACCGGCCCCAAGCGCAAGGGCTGCGGCGTCCGCGCTCCACCCAGTTTCTGGCCCGGATTGGTTTCTGAACCCCACCTGGGGGGGAAGAAGCGATGGCTCGGACACGGCGACCGCGAAGACCTGCAGTACAAGACCGCGATCGCGATGTATCCATACGACGGGAAGGTCGACCCCGGGTTGAACCTGAGCCAGAAGCAGATCCGAGAGTGGGCCGCGGACCTGTCCATCGTTGAGGGGTTACATACGGGCCTCTTAATCACCATGCACTACCGCAACCTCGTGGCAAGCAAGGACAGGTGAGCTGTGCCAATCCACCATCATCTAGTGCGTTCATACGGTTTGGTATGTTATCATGTTCTGGCCGCTCCAACCCACTGCGTGGCAGGTGGCAACGCATGTTCGATTCCTATCACGGGCTTACCAAGCCCGGAATGCACACCACCAACGTGATTGCATGGGCCGCGGTGGTAGGCAAGGAGGCTGCAGCAGAAGAAGCGGATCTCGGCGACGTGGAGCCGACGGACTACGCGGGAGCGATCGCATGCGCCATTGCAATGGTGTGGGAGGTCACTCGCGGTTCTAACGTCACTGCCGCGGCGGATAATGGAAACCTGGCCGCGCGTGCTGCTGGTTGCTATGGAGAGCGAAGCCGTCTCTTCCCCGTAGTATCCGCGTACGTCATCAATGCGGTGCGGAAGCGCAATCGCCGCGAGGAAGATGAGCCACAGGTTGTCGCGGACCCGAAGGCGGTCGCCGCCGCGATCGTGTCCGGAGTCGTGAGCGAGATCGTTGCAAAGTCTCGCGATCTCAGGCACATTGAGTTGGCCGCCCGCGAAACGGTGGACGTTATCATCACCTGGTGCGACTGCTCGGTGGCAGGGAAGCAGATGGAGTCCTTGGGTTTGTACCTTGCCCTGCCCAAGGATCGTCTGAAGAAGCGGACTTGAGTGCGTGTAGTATCGCGTAGCATGTGCACAGCCTGTCCGCCATGCTTGAGTTCTACTCGCGGTGGATTGTGCTGGTGCCTATAGTAAATCGTGTGTGTGTGTGTGTGTGTGTGGGTGTGTGTGTATGTGCGTGTGCGTGTGCGCGTGAGAACCTAGTGTTGACATTTGGAACAATATGTGAAGGTTTGTAGGATTCAGTGGGTGCGTGTGTTTGCGCGTGTGCCATTTTAGTAGTAATCTGCATTCGTCTCAGGTATTCCCACACATTATCATTGTACACACTACGACGCGAACAATCTATGTACATTAGGCAACAGCAGCCCGCGATCACCACGGCCGCGATGTAAATCAGCACTATCTGACCGCGGAACAACAACAGCCCGCGATCACCACGGCCGCGATGTAAATCAGCAAAATATTAGCGCAAAAAATCAACACTCGCAGTCGATTATAGGGACCCATAACATCGCACCCGAAGACGGTGATATGTAGACGAACAACAGCGGGGTCAATCCATTTACTGCAAGTCTGGCATCAGCGCACAGTAGTGGGGCCACGCGACCGTGAACTCAGAAGCGGGAAGAGAGGCATTGATGAGACGGTCGCGAACAAGCATCCATTTCACACGCAACTGCACCTCCACCGGAGAACCCTTCTTAAGCTGGCTCAGTTCCAGGTCAACACTCTTCTTCTTTACCGCGATCCCTTCCGATACACCCGACATGCCCACAGCACTTGACATGAGGTCGAGCTTGTCGAGCACTACCGCGATGTCGTCTCCTTGCTCCACCCTGTGGGCGATGAAGTTCATGATTCGCTTAACACGGTTTATCGCGTTCTGGCCGCCTCCCTCCTCCCCAATGAGCGCGGCCATTCGCGTAACTGCGCCGCGGGGTTGAGCCAGAAGCGACTCTGGACTCTCGAGGATCAGCGGGTGCATTGTCTTGTACAGCTTCCATCCGTCTGACGGTTTGGTGGCGTTGACCCATGGAAGGACGATCGCGTCCCGAATTGTCTGTTCCCTGGTGGGCGCTGCGGGTTTCTTCCGCGTCCCCTGCTCGGTGGGAGCTGTGGCATTGGTCAACGCGGCCGCGGCTCCAGGAGTGGTTGCCTGGTTCGGAACCGCGGTCGGCCCTGAGCTGCTCACGGTGAGCCGCGACAGCTGGGCCTCCAAATCATTCACGCGCTCGTCCTTCTCGGCCAGTTTCCGATCGCGATCCTCCAGCAGCCCCTCCAGCTCTTTCACCCGTTTATGAGTCGCGACCAACTCTAGGCCCAGTCTGGTGTTCTCCGCTTGTGAACGAGTCAAGTACTCAGTGAAGACGGTCACTTGGTTCTGCGCGTCCATTCTGGTACTCACCTCCTGCATGGACAGAAAGCGACCGCGAACTTGTTATGGTTTGGCACTGACATCACGGAAGAAACATAACGCGACCATTCAGTACTTACTGCGGGCTGGGTCAGTGTAGGTGTGTTGCGCTGTACTGTGGCGAGTTGATTTGTCAATGAGACATCTGCAGCCCACGACGCAAATTCCTCCGTCTGGCAGAGCGGGTTGTTGACCACGTACGGGTGTCGCGGCTGGTGGATATAATACATCGCCAGGTCTTGCGCGACCGCCATCCTAGCGTCCCCATCCAGCTCCTTCAGTATGTTTAGCCCCGCGGTGTCCTGCTTCTCCGGCTTCTGCGTTTTCACCATCCTGCGGTTGTAATCCTTGCACTGTGACAATAAAACAACAAGGCAGTGAACGCGGTGCCAGAGTGGTATGTGAGATGCTCGCGGTCGCGTATGCGCGGACCACACATACCTGTTGCTGTCCTTTGTCCGTGGCGGCCCATGGGAAAATGTGCTTCCTCAGTAGATCATCCAGCTTATCGCTGACCGGAACAGTTTCGCGACCCAGGAAGTAGTCACCGTCAACCCCGGTGAAGCCCGCCTTCAGCAGCACGGCCTCCCTTGGAATGGTTGTGAGGTAGTGCTTAGTCATCACGTCAATGAAGCGCCAACCCCCCAGCCTCGCCAGCTGATCCGAAGGCATTCCGTCAGCGGACGCGTGCTGCGCCCCCCCAGCCCTGGTCGCGTGTACCGCACGCGAGCATGTGATTCCCGCGTCCTGGAGAATTTTCGCCGCCCAGTCGTGATGAGTCGTGGGCGGTATTTGCTTCTCGTTGCCCGCGCGAAGGGGAAAGAACAGGTATTGATCGTACCACGTGGAGGGTTCCGTGAAGTCGAGAGGGGGGGCTATGTCCCCATAGAGGATGGGAACCAAGTCGTACACCCAGTGCAGCCACAGCAGCGTGGCTCCGACCGCGCACAGCGTCCAATCGATGTGCCTCACAGCAGATATGTAGTTGAGCGAGAAGTCCTTGTTTGTCTTGCCCGTCCTGCACGCGCAAACAAACATGAACGCGATTCTAACTGGATCGGTCTCCGATTTTGCGCCTAGCTTCCACATCATCATGTCTGGCAGCTGCAGGTTTCTGATCGTGCATCCGCGGGCCAGAGTGTGATGACCGAGCACGGTCATCGTCCGGATGCAGAGGTCGCGATGCATTGCCTGCGTGTATGCTTTCTTGGCTAGTGTGAAGCTGGTCAAGATCGCGTCCATGCTGGTCTTCCGCATCATATGCTTGAACTCGTCCGGGGTGTGCGTGTCCGCGGCCGTGCCCCGATGGCGATCCATGTGTTCTCTGCGCATGGATTGCGTGCCGTGTGCGGCACTACATCGACTCTCCGCCTCCTAATACGCGGTCTATTAACTAGCCCGTTACCTGACCCGTCGTTCGCGTTAACATCGCTACCCCTGCCGCCGTTATATGTCTCCCCATGCGCTCCCTGCCCGTTTGCACTGTACTCGTTCGATCCCACACCTGTCCCACGTCCCGCGATCGCTCTCCCACCCCTTCGTCTCGCACCTCTCCGTCTAGCCGCGTTCCCTCTCTCCCCTGTCCCTCCTCCCGCGTTCCCTATCGCACCCGTCCCTCTTCCCCTTACCGCGTTTCCGCTTGCACCCGCTCCACGCCCCGCGTTCCCTGCGTTCGCCTGTGGTTGCCCACCTACACCAGTCGCGTACGCTACAGTCGGATGCGCGGGGGTGCGGATGTGGACGTCGGGGTTTTCGGGCAACAGTGAGTTCACGTTCCATATTGGCGGCGAATGTGCACGCGCGCTTGCATTCACCCCCGCTCCACCATTTACCGCACGCCCTAAACCACCGGCAACCGCGTTCGATGATGTGCCCTCTGTTCGCGCCCGTGTGTCCAAACCGACAACTAATGCTTCACTAGGGTCTGGCGGGTCTTGCACCGCTGGCTGGCTTTCCGGATGAATCGCGCTGGAGAATGGTGTTGACGGCGCGACAGGAGGCGTCACGACATATGCGGGTGCGTACACCATGGAGTCTGGTTGAACGCCGATGTACCCGTACCTGAATCCCACGTTCGAGTACTGCGGCCCTACGAAGCCACGCACGGGCATCCCAAAGAGCTGGCTACTGGGCACGGACGGGGACGCGACCGCATTACCCGGCTGATTTTGTAACGCGACCGCCGCTGCCGCAAACGGTATTTGTGGCCGCGGTGCTAGGTGGAGCCCATTGACCAGTTGGTGTGGGTGAAACGTGGGCGTCCGGGACCCAAACACCACTGGCTGCCCGCATGGGGTGCTCCATGTGGGCGTTCACCCCATGCACGGGAGCGGTAGGTGGTTCGGCATTATGTATTTGATGCGCGGTTGTGTTGCCCGAAGCATTGATGGAGTCGTGAAGTATTGGCGCTGCGACGCGATTCACGGTATGCATGCGACGTGCGAGATTGCACCTACTCGTATTCACCGCGTGCGTCAATATGATGCGCGGTCACTAGCTGTCCACCCGGGTATGAGTTAGACGCGTCTACCTCGCGACCGATGTGCTCGCGGACATTCGAGCGCGGCACACAACGTAACCGCGATACTGGTGTCTTGTGTATCCCAGTGGGTCGTGAGGGGGTAGAGCTTGGTGTGCAACTGGCGATCGGAAAGTGGAAACTGTGGGTGTCCTCGGCGTAATGACCGGACACTGCTTGGACGTGCTTGACACGTTACCGCGATCGCGCATCGACCAAACGAACACACAGCTGTGTGGCTCGTTCAAATTGCGGCACGTGTCAGCCGGTATGGAGCCTACCAGATCGCGCCAGCTGTAACCGAACCGGATCTCTCTGTGCGCTTAACGAACCTATGCTTGTGCGAATTTTGTTCGCGATAAGTTGCGAGAGAGAACAACCAATAGTAGCACTCCTTTGGTGTCGCGAACTCGCGGTTGCATGCGCGGGATGTCCCGCTCGTCAATGTTACCGATCAATCGCGTTCGTTTTCTGCCGAGTCGCGCATGCATCGGCGCGTAAGAACGAGGTGGGTTCTTTCGGTTTTCTGGGGGCCGCGGAGCTTTCGGTGGCAGCCTGGTGGGTTTCACTCAGCCACGCAGGGCCGCGCTAGGTCCAAACCTGGTGGGATCCTGGGTGGCCGACTTCGCCCCACGCTCCCCGCGATTTCTCCGCGCCCCGTGCATCCCAAGGCGTGGGCGGGGTTTTTCCCGAGCCGCGCCGTATGAACATCCCAATTTCGCGACTCGCGACTTGCGATTTCGGGCCCACTCTCTGGCGTCACACGCGGCGATCTCTAAGTCTCCCACCCCAAGCTAAGTCCTCACCTCACCCACCCGCTGCCTCTGCTCCTGCCTTCTGTTCTGCCTGAAACCTTGACTGCCCGAAACCTTGACTGCCCGAAACCTTGACTGCCCGAAACCTTGACTGCCTGGAACCTTGACTGCCCGAAACCTTGACTGCCCAAAACCTTGACTGCCTGGAACCTTGACTGCCCGAAACCTTGACAGCCCGAAACCTTGACTGCCTGAAACCTTGACTGCCTGGAACCTTTTTGACTGCCTGAAACCTTGACTGCCTGAATCCATTCTCGCTCCGTTCCTGCCTTGTGTCACACTCAAGAGACCTCCCTCCCCCAAGGTAGCAAGGCAGCAGGTACAGCCTCAGGTATTCGGTTGGTTCAGCTGGTAAGAGGTCTCTTGGGTGTGCCACTGCAACAGTCGATTGATGCATGCATTATTCTCGCAATCTTTACTCTTTTTGCTCTCACTTCACTCACGTGGCATTGCTTCTTTTCCCCGCTGCTCTCCCAACTCCTCAGTTCCCGTTCTTTGCTCATTTCTCTCTGTCCTGATCTTCCCCCTCTCGTCCCAGCAGGTCGATCACACGGGAGTGGCAGTGGCGGGGGACATGGAGTGCACAGGCAGCAGCTGCTCTCCACCCAACCCACTCACAGCTAAGCTTAGTACCCCGCCCTGCCTCTTTCCTCCCAACCCTCGTACTTGTGTTGGATTTCATGTCTCGCTCGCATCATCAACTTCCTCCCTCACTGCCCTCTGTCACACTCAAGAGACCTCCCTCCCCCAAGGTAACAAGGTAGCAAGGTAGCAGGTACGTGCTCAGGTATTTGGTTAAGTGTGGATCAGCTGGTACGAGGTCACCTGGGTGTGCCATTGCAGTAGTCAATTCATCCACGCTTCACTCTTGCACTCGTTCGCTCTCACTTCACGCACTTGTCTTCGCCTCTTTACTCATCGCCCTCCTTTTCTCCCTTATCTCACCTCCGTCCTCTCTCCATCCTCCTCCCTTCCTCTTTCTGTCCCGATTTGCCCGCTCTCATTCCATCAACTCACAAGCCAGTAGCAGTGGTGGGGGAACATGGACTGCAAAGGCAGCAGCTGCTCTCCACCCAACCCACCCACAAGCAGCTAAGTACCCGCCCTGCCTCTTGAATTTTTGTTCCACTTCAGTCCTTGCTGCTTCTCTGTCGCTTGTGAATTCAAACGCAAGCCGCTGGTTGAGCCAAAGCTTCAAGCCACAGACCCCTTTTTCTTGGGTAATTTCCCCCAGGTACTGCAGGTATACTCTCAGGTCTGCAGGTAAGCCTCCCTAGGTGTGTCACTCTCTTGGGTCTGTGGCTTGTAGCTGAGGCTGCACCAGTGGCCCCCTTCTCTGCTCCCGCATGCCATCTTATGCTCTCCTCTCACATTTCTAACCCTAGCCGCTTACTCACTTCTCTCCAGTTCTCTCCTTGCCGGTTTAGGGGAGGGGCGTGGGGGTCAACACCGCCACTACACTGCGCTCCTCCCCTGTGGCTGTGCAGGTGGCAGTGGTGGGAGGGGAGGGGGGCAGCACTCCACTCGGCTGGGGCGGGATGAAAGAGCATCGGGATTGGGTCGTCTGAAACAAGGTGAGCCTTATATTTCCTCCTTTCCACAATTGCTCTTTCTATCAGTCATGCTGTTGCTTGGTCTTCTCCCCATGCCCACTTCTTGCCTCGCTCCTTGCCCTGCAATCCACTCTGTTTTGCATCTTTTCTCGTTGCCCTCTGCACTCCTCCGCTCAGCCTTCACATCCCCGTCCTTTTCCCCGTCTCTTCTGGTGGCCCACTGACCGCTCTGGTATGTCATCCCTCAAGGCCTCTCAAGGTACGTGAGCCTTTCTCTTGCCCTCATCCCTCTCCCGTTCTGCTCTTCAATTCCGCCTTCTCGTTTTCCTCAGCTTTAGTTTGTTGTCTTGCTAGTCATTGAAAACTCACTTACTCTTACCTTCCCCCTTTCTCCCCCCCTTACCAGGTCACTTGGCATCGAGTGAAGACTGCAGTGGTGCTTCAGCTGCCCTCTGCTCGCTCTCACACAATCAGCTAAGTATCCCTTCCGCCATGCCCTCGCCCTTGCTGCTGCCATTTCGTTTTTCTCAACTTCTTTCGCACCCTTCCTCTTGAAGCAGTGCCACTGGTTAGGTCCGCCTCACATGCCACAGACCCCCCAACTCCAGGTAACCCCTCAGGTGTAGATCAGGTGCAGGTAACCCCTTCAGGTGCAGGTAACCCCTTCAGGTGCAGGTATGCTCTCAGGTTCACCCCTTGGGGTCTGTGCTTTGTGGCTTGGCCTCCACCAGTGGCCCCTCCCTGCTCTCGGCTTGCAAACTCTCTTCTCGCTCTTGCACTCTCACCCTTCCTCCCCTCGCTGCCCACTGACCAGCTCTGCGTGTGTGCCTTGCAGGTGGAGGGGAGGGGCGGGGGTCAACACCGACGCTTCCTCACGCCCCTCCCCTGTGGCCGTGCAGTTGCCTGTGGGGATGGGAGGGAGGCAGCACTGCCAGTCGCTGCCACAAAGGAGAGTATCGGGGTGGGCTTGGCCTCTCAAGGTACGTCACCTGCCCTCTTGCCCTCGTCTCTCTCTCTTTCTGTTCTTCAGTTTTGCCTTCTCGATTTCATCAACTTCAGTCCTGCTTTTCCTTCTCTGGTCCAGCCAACTCACTGGCTTTTACTTCCCACCTTTCGTCTGCCTCCACCCCCCTCGCCTGTGGCCGTGCAGGTGCCTGTCTGTGGGGATGGGAGGGGGCAGCTCTGCCAGTCGCTGCCACAAGGGAGAGTATCGGGTTGTGCTTGGCCTATCAAGGTACGCCGCCTCCCCTTTTGCCCTTAACCCTCTCTATTTCCGCTCTGTAATTCCGCCTTCTCTTTTTCGTCAACTTCAGTTCATTGGTTTCTCTAGTCCAGCCTATTCACTTTCCTTTACTTTCTTCCTATGCTTCTGCCCCCACCCCTGCAGGCCACTGGGCATCGAGAGAAGACTGTAGCAGAGAAGCTGAGTAGCAGACCGGCAGCAGCAGTTGTAGCAGCAGAAGCGGCAGCAGCAGCAGCAGCAGCAGTGGGGGGTGAGGGGTTCGAGGCGGGCTAGGTTAGGTCGAGTCGTGAGCGAGGTGTGGTATGGTATCAGGCAAGGTATGGTAACAGGTTTGGTATGGAGATCTGATCCCCTCCTCTCTTTCTTCCTCCCCACCCCTCTTTGCAGCCTGAGTATGGAGGGAGCACTGGAGCAAGGGCGGGACAGAGGCATCTCTCTTTTCATCCTCACCTACCCCTCCCCTTCTCCCTCTCGCTGCCCTCCTTCCCACTTTCCAGCACGGTCGATGCAGCCTGAGGGAGAGAGGGAGAAAGGGCAGGACAGAGCCATCGCACTAACCCCCCGCCCCCCCCCCCCTCCTCCTCCCTCCCCACTTCCCAACACCCTGAGGCAACATGGCGCTCTGCATGGCTGTGGTAGGTAGAGGTAAGAGGCATGGGGTGAAGGGGAGAGTGGGGAGGCGGTGGGAAGCATGGGAGCAAGTGGGCAGGTCACTCTCTCAGGGGCAGCATCCTCTAGGGATGTGCCTTGCGGGTCGGGGTGTGGTGGGTGGAATCTGCGCGGCACGGCACTCGGTGCTCAAGTAACTAACCCGACGTTAAGGCTTAATGGGCACCGTCAGAGTCGACCGGCCGGCGACTCTGGTTCGCGTCAGCTCTAGCTACGTCAGGGGTGGGATTTGAGTCTTGGGCTGGAAGCAATTTTCCACTACCACACCTCGCACTGAAAGGCACAGCACCTGAGCGTGCTGTTTGCGAAGGGGAGTGGGCTGTCTGCTGCTCCTACTGCTGGCAGGTAAGGAGGGGAGGGGATGGGTGGGCTGGGTGGTGATGGTGGTGATTGGCTGTGGGAATGGCAGTGGCACATGATGAGCCGTATGGCACTGATGCCACCTGTTATTGGTGGCACATGATGAGTTGCTGCACTGTTGCCACCCTTAAGCATGGAAGTATGATGCTCATGCTTGGCTGGTTGGGGGCACATGATGAGTTGCACTGATGCCACCCTTGCATGGAAGCATGATGCTCATGCTTGGCTAGTTGGGGGCACATGATGAGTTGCACTGGGGTGGTGATGGTGGTGAGAGGCAGTGGGGATTGCAGTGGCACATGATGAGCCGTATGGCACTGATGCCACCTGTTGCATGAGAGGTTCTCAGAGTGATCGACACGAGTGTGTGAGTGTTGAGAGCAGTGTGGGTAAGTGGCAATAGTTTCTTTTTTCTGACTGATGAGGATTAGAGGTGAGAGTGGTGAGAATGAGAGGTGACAGTGGTGACGATGAGTGAGGAGTGGGATTTGTATGCTCAAATCTGAGATGTGAGTGCGTGGTGACAGCGAGAGCAGATGGGGTGGTGGGGTGAGCGGTTAGAGTGGTGTAGTGAGACTTAGTGGCAACTAGGGATGAGCAAGGTGGCGAACACCTGTTCGGTTCGCCTCGAACGTGTTCGAGGCGAACCGAACAGGTATTTTTTTTTGGCTTAAAATGTTCGCCGAACAGTGTTCGATGTTCGCCCGAACACGTTCGTGTTCGGGCCGCCGCTGCAATTTGCCCGTGACGAACACGAACACTGTTCGAGGTTCGCCCGAACACGCCTTCACAGGCGAACGGCGAACACCATTTTTTGCTCGAAGTGTTCGCCGAACCGAACAGTGTTCGGTTCGGCAAACGAAGGTGTTCGTGAAGGGGCGAACATGAACACGTTCGTGTTCGCCACTTGCTCATCCCTAGTGGCAACCATCGTGAGAGTGTTGTGAGACTGAGCAGTGAGAGTGGTGAAAGTGTGGTGAGACTGAGGCGAGAGTAAGTGGTGAGCATGGCGAGGGGTGGAGGGGTGGGAGTGGCAAGCTGGTGAGACGGTGTGAATGTTGAGAGTGAATTGTCAGAGCAAGTGGTGGGGTTCAATAATGAGGAGTGAGTGGAGCAAGGAGTGTAGAGATAGGGGAATGAGAGTGGACAAGAAGTGAGCAGTGAGAGTGGCAAGGAGGGGTACAACAGTGTGCAGGTATATCGGAATGTCATGATGGTAGCCGTGTGCATGCATACGTACACCATGCATGCATTTGTGCATGTGCACCAAGCATAATTCGATTTGTCTTTTTCATATACTGCTCACGAGCTGATTCGGCCAAGATTCTGGAAGATCTTTCTTGTTGAAGTGGCAGTTTAGCAAGGATCTTCCTGATACGTGTACATGACCACTACGATACTTGAAATACGTACTACCGTAGCAGGCCCTATTTTATCAGGGTAAATCACCCTGATACCCTGATTATCAGGGTGGTTTTTGGGTGTAACACTGATGCCGTAGGGTACCGGTATTTTTTTGGGGACCTTGATTTTCCCTGATGTGCCAGGGTTTACGAATAAGGCACACTGTCGCCTCAGTGTTGCCGATACTCTTAGCGAGTTTTACCCTGAAGCGAGTACCAGCCACCCCCCGCCTCCCCCCCCCCTTTCCCCTAACCCCCCCCCTACCCCGTAACCCGGGAATCCCGCTTGCCAACTGTCGAAACTGTAAATTTGTTATTGTGTGCTCTGTTACTGACAATTTCAGCAGGGTTCGAGAACATTGTACACTGATGCCTCAGGGTTGAATATTCAAACTAAGCATAAACCCTGATGAATCAGTTTTCCCACAAGGGGTCACACTGATAATCAGAGTTTTGAACATGTGCAACACTGATCGTAAGGGTTGGCAAAAACCAAAAATTAGCCCTGTACCGTAGTCTCCATAGGTTGCTTGGAAATACATGGCTTTTTATTGTGACATCATCTGCTCGATTATGAGACATTTTTGCATTGGACCATTCTCATTTTGACGTGGATCAACCCCGTGCTCCTACATCTCCTTGGTGTGATGGTCATATTGTAATTGTACTTCTCTTTTCAGCCTGCCCTGCCTGCTGCTTCACTTGCATAATCCACCATCTTTTGCCAGTTAACATCTCTGCTGCATGCTGCCAGGCAGGCAGGCTATACACAACACAAGGACAGCTCTCCTAAGTGACTGCCTCGAGACAACCAAGGCACGGCAAACAAGATGTTTACCATGCGGCTACCATTCACACCTCACATGCAATGGTAGCTGCCTAATGGGTACCACTCGAAAGCAGCTTGTGGCGAGGGATATGGGGGAGGAGCGAGGACGGAAGGTGAGAGAACACGGGAAGGAGAGGGAGCAACGGAATGTGAGGGAGAAGAAGCTGGTGAGGAGTGGAGCAGTGGAAGCTGGTGAGGAGTGGAGCAGTGGAAGCTGGTGAGGAGTGGAGCAGTGGAAGCTGGTGAGGAGTGGAGCAGTGGAAGCTGGTGAGGTGTGGAGCAGTGGAAGCTGGTGAGGAGTGGAGCAGTGGAAGCTGGTGAGGAGTGGAGCAGTGGAAGCTGCACTCAGGTTCGTTGCAGGCCCGGAAGTAGCACCTGAACCTCACGCTCCTCCGTGACTGCCATCAGCTTCGGCACCAGCAGCTCGATACCGGACCTGGTGGTATGGGCCCGGAGAAGCAAGGAATGAGGAAGTGATGCTGGCACTGCACTGAACCACTCCATCAACTACCATATGAACAAGTTCCTAAAGAGGTACTGAGTTGCCTCAATGCACTGACGCACTCGCCCGTCTGCTAAACACACTCGCCTCTCTCTCGAGTTCACTCACCCGTCTGCTGACACACTGGCTGCCACGTCAGCATTCTCTGGTATGCGCTGGGGCAGCTGCACCTCCCTTTCGAACGGGCCAGCAGGGCAGTGCTCCCCCGGCCACTGAGAGCGCGACACTTGGCGGAATGTGAGGCCGGAGCGAGATATGGATGGCGGGGGGAAGATGGCAGCACAGGAGATCTGATTCGGATTGACATGGGAAGGAAATGGAGGGAATGGTTGGGTGGGAGGGCAGGAGGAGTGAAGGGAGATTCAAGGGTCTGTAACAGTTCAGAAGAAGGGATTGTAAAGGGGGGTGATGGAGAGAAGGCTAGTTTGATGTGGATATGTAAGAAAGCATGTCGGGTGCATGGGCATGTAGGCATGGTTGCATGGGCGCATGGATGCATGCCAGCAGCACTGCCTGCAGCCAGCATCTTGCACAGTCATCTCTCCCCAATGAACCACACCACGAACCTTGACGATCCCAGCAGCACCGGCGTTGCGCCACGTGACTCGGAGGCGGGAGAGGTCGCAGTGGGGCAGCGACACCAGCAGCAGGTAGGCTGACGCATCCTCATACAGCGTGCACGCGCACGTGGGCGGACCCACAGCCTGTGACAGGGCAAGGAAGAATACATAATGAGGTGCCTCCGAATAAGACGCATGCTGCATCCTCATACAGCGTGCATGCGCACGTGGTTGGAACCACAGCCTGCGACAGGGAAAGGGGGAGTAGATACCAATGCGCCTTCGAATAAGACGCATGCCGCATCCCTGTACAGCGTGCACGTGCACGTGGGTGGAACCACAGCCTGCGGCCGGGCCAAGAGGAGCAAGGGGAGAACAAGAGCGACAGAAGCCAAGTGGCTTCAAGGCTGTCCCAGATTACAGGGGGGGTAGCGAGTGAACAGCGCCATTTCAAAGAAGAAGAAGCACACCTGTGCAAGTGTGCCTGACGCCCCTCCTCGCCATCCCATGGCTGCTGTGGTGCGCCCAGGCCCTGGGTTCAATACTCTGGCCACAACCCCACTTGCTCCTGCTGCCTCTTCTCCTCTCTCCTCCTCCCTAATGCCCACTCCTCCACCCTGCTGCCTAGGCATCCCCTCGCCCACCACCCTGCCCGCCCTTCCTCCTGCTCCTAAGCTGTCGCCAGCAACACTCACTCCGTTCGGCATACTCCCGTTTCCACTTCTCCTCCCCTCTTGCCCACGTCTCCCTCCGGTCCCATTCACGTGGTGGTTGTGGCTCAGGTTGAGAGGGCTCACATTGGGGGGGCTTAGATTGGGGGATGCCAGCCCAGGACCCTCATGCACCCCTTCGCTATAGTCACGCGCCGATGCACCCACGCTTGTAGACGACAGCCCCGGCTGCGTCTCAGCCTCACTTGCAGCTTCGGCAGTAGGCTCGGTCCGAAGCGTGGTACTTGGTTCAGTTTGAGGTGTGACATCAGGCTCGGTGCCCAGCCTACGGTGGTACTCCGATGTATGGGCCATGGGAAGCTGAGCTCTCGCCACCGATGCTGCCACTCGTGCTGGTGCTACCAGTGCTACTGGTGCTGCCAGTGCTGCGGGTGCAGGTGGCAGTGGCAGTGGTAGTGGCGCAAATGCTTGGATTGCTGAGTGGAGTACCGTAGCTGCCAGGGAAGCTGCTACAGCTGCTGTTGCTGCTGCTCGTGCTGGTGGTGCTGCCATTGACGCCGAAGTTGGTCTGTGGCGTCTGTGTGCAATCTGCCTTTCTTGCTGCTGCTGCTGCTGCTGCTGCTGCTGCTGGTCCCCTTGCTGCTCTTGCTGCTGTTGCTGCTGCTGCTGCTGCTGCTGCTGCTGTTCCCGTTGCTGCTGTTCTTGCTGCTGGCGTTGCCCCTGCTGCTGCAGCTGCAGCTGCTGATGATGACGAGGATTGTTATGTTGTTGCGGATGCTGCTGTTGCTGTTGCTGCCGTTGTTGCCACAGTTGCTGCTGCAGCACGTGTGCTGCTGCCACACCTCGGCAGACACCTGCTCTCACGGCTACATTCGACTCATCTGCCCCGTCTCCCGCACTGCTTGAATGGTCCCTCTCCTCTGCAGCCACTCCCGCTTGACGAGCGGCAGCAGAATCACTGTTCACTGCTCCATTAGAAGCACCCACACCTGCTGCCATACCCCCTGCCGTACCTCCTGCCACACATCCTGCCGTACCTCCTGCGATCCCTCTGCTATCATTGGTGTCAGCAGCCAAAGGATGCAGAGCAGCAGTGGCAGCAGGCATGGCAGCAACGTTGATATGCCTGAAACCAGCATCTGCAGGCCTGCTAGCAGCAGTAACATGCGTGGCAGCAGGCAGCAGCGGAGCAGAGGCACACATGGCCCGCTTGCTTGTGCTGCCCAGAAGCGGGTCGTCTGCCCGTCTCCGCCGCCCAGATGTGAACACAGGTGGCTGCGAGCATGGCTGGGGGGATGCACCCGCCTGCAATGATGCATTCTGGGGGGGTGTACCCACATGCAGTAACGCATTCAGCTGGGGAGATGCATCCGTGTGCTCCAAGGCTTGCACAGGAGGGGGCGATGGGCACACGCGCTGTCTTTGCGAGTTTTCACCCTGTCTGGTTGGATTCAGTGGCTGCAGGGGCGAATCTCTTGACCACACCTGCTGCTGCCCCTCAGCCTGTACTGACCTCACCTGCTGCCGCCCTGCCTGTGCTGACTGCACCTGCTGCTGCCTCGCTGCTGCTCTCCTATGCCGCACAATCTCTCCCTCTGCTCCTCCTCTGTTCCTTTCAACCCCGTCTTGCCCGCCCCCCATCCGCCCCTCCCCTTCCATCTCCACACAGTTCCACTGCCAGCCTGCAACACCTTCCCTGTCACGCTGCTGGTGGCCCCCTCCCCTGTGCTGCATGCCTTGAAGGGACAAGCCGTTGAGTGGCTGCACGCGGCTTGAAGTGGGGATGTCTGCATGTGTGCCCGATATACCATGTTCGCTCAACCTTTCAGAAGCTGCTTGCTGTCCTAAATGTGCCTCTTGTGCTCCGAGCTGCATTCGCTGCTGCTGCTGTGCTACCTGTTGCTCCTGTGCTGCCTGCTCCTGCTGCTGCACACTCTGCTGTGGAGACTGTTGCTGGCTTCCCTGCCCCGGCTGCCTTATCCGCTGCTGCTGCTGCTGCTGCTGCTGCTGCTGCTGCTGCTGCTGCTGCTTCTCCTGCATCTGTTTCACTCTCCTGCCATGCAGCCCTCCCGCCTCCAGCACCCACTGCCCGCCTCCCTGCCCGCCCCCCAGACCCCCTCCCTGCGCATCTCCCTGGGCGCCCCTAGCTTCCCCTGTCCCACCTCCCTCCCCTGTCTCCCCTGTCCCCTCAACAACCACTGCCACTGCTGCCTGTGCAGCAGCAGCACCGGCTGGTTCTCCACGTGCCGCTAAATCATCCTGCTCCACTTGCCCTACTGTCTCCTGCTGCTCCATTAATGCTCCTGCTGCTTCTCCTGCTCCTCCTGCTCCACCTTCCACTGCGGCTGCCGTTGGGATGACTGACGTTGGTGCTGCTCCTGCTGCTGTGGATACGGCTGCTGCTGTTGGCTGTGCGGGTGGCGTTGCTGCTGCTGCTGCTGCTGCTGCTGCCGCTGCCGCTGCTGGTTGTGCAGGTAGAACCTGCCTGATTACACCTGCACCGGAGGAAGCAGACGCGCCACCAACGCACTCAGCATTCCAAGCACCAGCGCACATGGCAAGGGCGTGGCTTGGCAGGGTAGGAGGAGGCAGCAGGGAGCGCCACAGGGTGAAGTCATGCGCGTGTGGCGAGAGAGAAAAGCCCAGCGGTCGCCCTGGGGTGAGGGAGAGACGTGAGCAGGGTGGGAGAAAGGGAGGGTACTCCAGAGGCATCCCAAAACACGGAGGTGGCAGGAGGCAGCAGGCTGCAGCAATGACCTTTGGGACGTCGCAACAGGGGTGCAACACAGTACAGTAACCGGAATACCAGGATACCGGGATACCGGGAAACCGAAAAACCGGGAAACCGAGAAACCGGGATACCAGGAAACCGGGAAACCGGGATACCGGGAAACCGGGAGAGCGGGATACCAGGATACCGGGATAGCGGGAAATAGGGTTGAGCAAAAAAACGAACACGTTCGAGGCGAACCGAACAGGTATTATTTTTTGGCTTAAATTGTTCGCCGAACAGTGTTCGATGTTCGCCCGAACACGTTCGTGTTCGGGCCGCTGCTAAAATTTTCCCGCGACGAACACGAACGTGTTCGAGGTTCGCCCGAACACGCCTTCACAGGCGAACGGCGAACACCATTTTTTGCTCAAAGTGTTCGCCGAACCGAACAGTGTTCGGTTCGGCAAACGAAGGTGTTCGTGTAGGGGCAACCACGAACGTGTTCGTGTTCGCCCCTTGCTCATCCCTAGCGGGAAACCGGGATACCGGAATACCGGGATACAGCGAAACCGGGATACCGGGATACCGGGAAACCGGGATACCGGGATACCGGTATACCGGGATACCGGGAAACCTGGATACCGGGATACTGGGATACCTGGATACCGGGATACCGGGAAACCGGGATACCGAGATACCGGGATACCAGGAAAACCCGGGATACCGGGAAACCGGGATACCAGGAAACCGGGAAACCGGGAAACCGGGAAACCGGGATACCGGGATACCGGTATACCGGGAAACCGGGATACCGGGAAACCGGAATACCGGGATACCAGGAAACCGGGAAACCGGAATACCGGGATACCAGGAAACCGGGAAACCGGGAAACCGGGATACCGGGATACCGGGATACCGGGAAACCGGGATACCGGGAAACCGGGAAACCGGGATACCGGGAAACCGGGATACCGGGATACCGGTATATCGGGATACCGGGATACCGGGATACCGGGATACCGGGATACCGGGATACTGGGATACCTGGATACCGGGAAACCGGGATACCGGGATACCGGGAAACCGGGTTACCGGGATACTGGGATACCGGGATACCTGGATACCGGGATACCGAGATACCGGGATACCGGGATACCGGGAAACCGGGAAACCGTGATACCGGGAAACCGGGAAACCGGGATACCGGGATACCGGGATACCGGGAAACCAGAATACCGGTATACCAGGAAACCGGGAAACTGGGATACCGTGATACCGGGATACCGGGAAACCGGGATACCGGGATACCGGGAAACCGGGATACTGGGATACTGTGATACTGGGAAACCGGGATACCGGGATACCGGGAAACCGGGATACCCGGAAACCGGGATACCGGGATACCTGGAAACCGGGATACCGGGAAACCGGGATACCGGGATACCGGGATACCGGGATACCGGGAAACCGGGAAACCGGGATACCGGGATACCGGTATATCGGGATACCGGGATACCGGGATACCGGGATACCGGAATACCGGGAAACCGGGATACCGGGATACCGGGAAACCGGGATACCGGGATACGGGGATACCGGGATACCAGGATACCGGGATACCGGGATACCGGGATACCGGGAAACCGGAATACCGGTATACCAGGAAACCGGGAAACTGGGATACCGTGATACCGGGATACCGGGAAACCGGGATACCGATATACCGGGAAACCGGGATACCGGGAAACCGGGATACCGGGATACCGGGAAACCGGGATACCGGGAAACCGGGATACCGGGATACCGGGAAACCGGGAAACCGGGATACCGGGATACCGGTATTTCGGGATACCGGGATACCGGGATACCGGGAAACCGGGAAACCGGGAAACCGGGATACCGGGATACCGGGAAACCGGGTTACCGGGATACTGGGATACAGGGATACCGAGATACCGGGATACCGGGATACCGGGAAACCGGGAAACCGTGATACCGGGATACCGGGATACCGGGAAACCGGAATACCGGTATACCAGGAAACCGGGAAACTGGGATACCGTGATACCGGGATACCGGGAAACCGGGATACCGGGAAACCGGGATACCGGGATACCTGGAAACCGGGATACCAGGATACCGGGATACCGGGAAACCGGGATACCGGGATACGGGGATACCGGGAAACCGGGATACCGGGATACTTGGAAACTGGGATACCGGGAAACCGGGATACCGGGAAACCGGGATACCGGGATACCGGGATACCGGGATACCGGGAAACCGGGAAACCGGGATACCGGGACACCGGGAAATCGGGATACCGGGATACCGGGATACCGGGAAACCGGGATACCGGGAAACCGGGATACCGGGATACCTGGAAACCGGGATACCAGGATACCGGGATACCGGGAAACCGGGAAACCGGGATACCGGGATACCGGGATACCGGGAAACCGGGATACCGGGATACCGGGATACCAGGAAACCGGGATACCGGGAAACCGGGATACCGGGATACCGGGAAACCAGGATACCGGGAAACGGGGATACCGGGAAACAGGGACACCGGGAAACCGGGATACCGGGATTCCGAGAAACCGGGAAACCGGGATACCGGGATACCGGGATACCGGGATACCAGGAAACCGGTAAACTGGGGTACCGGGATACCGGGATACCGGGAAACCGGGACACCGGGAAACCGGGAAAGCGGGATACCAGGAAACCGGGATACCCGGAAACCGGGAAACCGCGAAACCAAGATATCGAGATACCAGGATACCAGGATACCGGGATACCGGGATACCGGGATACCGGGAAACCGTGATACCGGGAAACCGTGATACCGGGAAACCGGTATACCGGGATACCGGGAAACCGGGAAACCGGGATACCGGGAAACCGGGATACCGGGAAACCGGGATACCGGGAAACCGGGAAACCGGGAAACCGGGAAACCGCGAAACCGCGAAACCAAGATATCGAGATACCAGGATACCAAGATACCGGGATACCGGGATACCGGGAAACCGGAAACCGGAAACGGGGATACCAGGAAACCGGGAAACCGGGAAACCGGGATACCGGGAAACCGTGATACCGGGAAACCGGGAAACCGGGATACGGGGATACCGGGAAACCGGGATACCGGGATACCGGGATACCGGGAAACCGGGAAACCGGGATACCGGAATACCGGGATACCGGGATTCCGGGAAACCGGGATACCGGGATACCGGGAAACGGGGATACCGGGAAACCGGGATACCGGGATACTTGGAAACCGGGATACCGGGAAACCAGGAAACCGGGATACCGGGAAACCGGGATACCGAGATACCGTGATACCGGGATACCGGGATACCGGGATACTGGGATACCGGTATACCAGGAAATTGGGATACCGGGAAACCGGGAAACCGGGATACCGGGATACCGGGATACTGGCAAACCGGGAAACCGGGAAACCGGGATACCAGGAAATCGGGATACCGGGAAACAGGGATACAGGGATACCGGGATACCGGGATACCGGGAAACCGGGAAACCGGGATACCGGGATACTGGGATACCGGGATACCGGGATACCGGGATACTGGGAAACGGGGATACCGGGAAACCGGGACACCGGGAAACCGGGATACCGGGATTCCGAGAAACCGGGAAACCGGGATACCGGGATACCGGGATACCGGGATACCGGGATACCAGGAAACCGGGATACCGGGATACCGGGATACCGGGATACCGGGAAACCGGGACACCGGGAAACCGGGAAACTGGGATACCAGGAATCCGGGGTACCGGGATACCGGGATACCGGGATACCGGGAAACCGGGATACCGGGATACCTGGATACCGGGATACCGAGAAACCGGGAAACCGGGATACCGGTATACCGGGATACCGTGATACCGTGATACCGGGATACCGAGAAACCGGGAAACCGGGATACCGGTATACCGGGATACCGTGATACCGGGATACTGTGATACCGGGAAACCGCGAAACCAAGATACCGAGATACCGGGATACCGGGATACCGGGAAACCGGATACCGGTATACCGGGATACCGGGATACCGGTATACCGGGATACCGGGATACCGGCAAACCGGGAAACCGGGAAACCAGGATACCAGGAAATCGGGATATCGGGATACCGGGATACTGGGAAACCGGGATACCGGGATACCGGGATACCGGGATACCGGGATACCGGGATACCGGGAAATCGGGAAACTAGGAAACCGGGATACCGGGATACCGGGAAACCGGGATACCGGGATACTGGGAAACCGTGATACTGGGAAACCGGGATACCAGGATACCGGGAAACCGGGAAACCGGGAAACCGGGATGCCGGGATACCGGGATACCGTGATACTGGGAAACCGGGATACCAGGATACCGGGAAACCGGGATACCGGGAAACCGGAATACCAGGATACCGGGATACGGGGAAACCGGGATACCGGGATACCGGGATACCGGGATACCGGGAAACCGGGAAACCGGGATACCGGGATACCGGGAAACCGGGATACCGGGATACCGGGATACCGGGATACCGGGAAACAGGGATACCGGGATATCGGGATACCGGGAAACCGGGATACCGGGATACCGGGATACCGGGAAACCGGGAAACCGGGATACCGGGATACTGGGAAACCGGGATACCGGGATACCGGGATACCGGGATACCGGGAAACCGGGATACCGGGATACCGGGAAACCGGGATACCGGGAAACGGGGATACCGGGAAACTGGGACACCGGGAAACCGGGATACCGGGATTCCGAGAAACCGGGAAACCGGGATACCGGGATACCGGGATACCGGGATACCAGGAAACCGGTAAACCGGGGTACCGGGATACCGGGATACCGGGAAACCGGGACACCGGGATGCCGGGATACTGGAATACCGGTATACCAGGAAACTGGGAAACTGGGATACCGTGATACCGGGATACCGGGAAACCGGGAAACCGGGATACCGGGAAACCGGGAAACTAGGAAACCGGGATACCGGGATACCAGGAAACCGGGATACCGGGATACTGGGAAACCGTGATACTGGGAAACCGGGATACCAGGATACCGGGAAACCGGGAAACCGGGAAACCGGGATGCCGGGATACCGGGATACCGGGATACCGTGATACTGGGAAACCGGGATACCAGGATACCGGGAAACCGGGATACCGGGAAACCGGAATACCAGGATACCGGGATACCGGGAAACCGGGATACCGGGATACCGGGATACCGGGAAACCGGGAAACTGGGATACCGGGATACCGGGAAACCGGGATACCGGGATACCGGGATACCGGGATACCGGGAAACCGGGATACCGGGATACCGGGATACCGGGAAACTGGGATACCGGGATACCGGGATACCGGGAAACCGGGAAACCGGGATACCGGGATACCGGGAAACCGGGATACCGGGATACCGGGATACCGGGATACCGGGAAACCGGGATACCGGGAAACCGAGATACCGGGATACCGGGAAACCGGCATACCGGGAAACGGGGATACCGGGAAGCTGGGACACCGGGAAACCGGGATACCGGGATTCCGAGAAACCGGGAAACCGGGATACCGGGATACCGGGATACCGGGATACCAGGAAACCGGTAAACCGGGGTACCGGGATACCGGGATACCGGGAAACCGGGACACCGGGAAACCGGGAAACCGGGATACCAGGAAACCGGGATAACCGGATACTGGGATACCGGGATACCGGGAAACCCGGATACTGGGATACCGGGATACCGGGATACCGGGATGCCGGGAAACTGGGCTACCGGGATACCGAGAAACCGGGAAACCAGGATACCGGGAAACCGGAAACCGGGAAACCGCGAAACCAAGATATCAAGATACTGGGATACCGGGATACCGGGATACCGGGAAACCGGAAACCGGGAAACCGTGATACCGGGAAACCGGGATACCGGGATACCGGGAAACCGGGAAACCGGGATACGGGGATACCGGGAAATTGGGATACCGGGATACCGGGATACCGGGAAACCGGGATACCGGGATACCGGGATACCGGGAAACCGGGATACCGGGATACCGGGAAACCAGGAAACCAGGATACCGGGATACCGGGATACCGGGATACTGGGAAACCGGGATACCGGGAAACCGGGATACCGGGATACCGGGATACCGGGATACCGGGATACCGGGAAACCGGGATACCGGGATACCGGGAAACCGGGAAACCAGGATACCGGGATACCGGGATACCGGGATACTGGGAAACCGGGATACCGGGAAACCGGGATACCGGGATACCGGGAAACGGAGATACCGGGAAACCGGGACACCGGGAAACCGGGATACCGGGATTCCGAGAAACCGGGAAACCGGGATACCGGGAATCCGGGATACCGGGATACCGGGATACCGGGAGGCCGGGAAACTGGGCTACCGGGATACCGGGAAACCGGGATACCGGGATACCTGGATACCGGGATACCGAGAAACCGGGAAACCGGGATACCGGGAAACCAAGATACCGAGATACCGGGATACCGGGATACCGGGATACCGGGAAACCGGAAACCGGGAAACCGGAAAACCGGGAGACCGAGATACCGGGATATCGGGATACCGGGATACCGGGATACCGGGATACCGGGATACTGGGATACCGGTATACCAGGAAATTGGGATACCGGGAAACCGGGAAACCGGGATACCGGGAAACCGGGAAACCGGGAAACCGGGATACCAGGAAATCGGGAAACCGGGATACCGGGATACCGGGATACCTGGATACCGGGAAACCGGGATACCGGGAAACCGGGATACCGGGATACCGGGAAACCGGGAAACCGGGATACCGGGATACCGGGATACCGGGATACCGGGAAACCGGGATACCGGGACACCGGGAAACCGGGAAACCGGGATACCGGGATACCGGGATACGGGCATACCGGGAAACCGTGATACCGGGATACCGGGAAACCGGGAAACCGGGATGCCGGGATACCGGGATACCGGGATACGGGCATACCGGGAAACCTGGATACCGGGAAACCGGGAAACCGTGAAACTGGGATACTGGGAAACCAGGATAGTGGGATACCGGGAAACCTTGAAACCGGGAAACCGGGAAACTGGGATACCAGGAAACCGGGAAACCGGGATACCGGGGCGGATATAACCTTTAAGACGTTTCACCCTGTGTGCGACACCTGACAGCCACCAACTCACCAGTAATCTCCTCCCAGCGCATGCGCGAGTGGGGGGACACGGCAGAGAGGTCAGGGGCGGGGACGGGTGCAATGCCGTGGATGCAGAGGGGGTTGGCCAGCCCCTTGTAGCGCCGCCGCTGCAGGCGGTGTGATCGCGCGAAGCCAGCCTTCTCAGGGAAGGGGAAGCACGGCTCGTCCACCCTGTTGGTACATGGTGAGGGGGAGAGGGGGGAGGGGGAGCGCGTGGCATGTGTGATGAGAGTGATGAAGTGAAAGGTGGGGCAAGAGGCCTGCAGTGGGAGGCAACGCATGCGGTGGAGGGGGAGGTGCAAGCATACCTGGAGTTGCCGTTGATGAAGGAGCGCAGCTGCATCTTGCCCAGCGCATGCTCTGGCCGCACACTGAGCGCCCACATGTACGCATTCTCCACATCGTGCTGCACCATAAACGCCTCTTCGCCCCGCTGGTTGGGTGGGTATGGGTGAAGGGGGAGAGGGAGTAGGGCAGGAATGCAAGCACATAACGCCTCTCCTCCACTTGCTCTGGCCGCACACTGAGAGCCCACATGTACGCATTCTCCACATCGTGTTGCACCATAAACGCCTCTTCGCCCCGCTGGTTGGGTGGGTATGGGTGAAGGGGGAGAGGGAGTAGGGCAGGCATGCAAGCACATAACGCCTCTCCCCCACTTGCTCTGGCCGCACACTGAGAGCCCACATGTACGCATTCTCCACATCGTGTTGCACCATAAACGCCTCCTCGCCCCGCTGGTGGTGGATGGGAAGTGGGGGGTTATGGGTGGTGGAGGGGGAGAAGGATGGAGGGAGAGGGGAAGACAGTCGGGCGGGCACAGAGTCACACGACGTCTCTCCATGTGCGCAAGTCACACACTGAGCGCCCACATGCACGCATTCTCCACATCGTGTTGCACCATAAACGCCTCCTCTCCACGCTGGTGGTGGAAAGTGGTCAGGCGTAGGGGTGTGGGCGGTGGGGGGTGAGAAGGATGGAGGGAGGGAGGCAGTAGGGCGGGCATGCAGGCACATGAAGCCTCTCCGCATGATCCCAGCGCACACTGAGCGCCCACATGTATGCGTTCTCCACATGTGCTGCACCATGAACGCCTCCTCGCCCCGCTGGTGTCGGAAGGTGGTCAGGAGGGGGGAGGGGGGGGGGGTGGGCGGTGGAGGGTGAGAAGGATGGGGGGAGGCTAGGCAGTAGGGCGGGCATAGAGGCAAATGACGCCTCTCCACGTGCCCTGGCCACACATTTAGAGCCCACATGTATGCATTCTCCATGTCGCGCAGTGCTATAAACGCCTCCTCTCCACGCTGGTTCAGGAGGTTGCAGGGGGGAGGAAGGGGGGAGGGGAGGGGACGAAGGTTGAACAGTCATGAGAGAGTGGAGTAAGGCGCAGGAGGAGCACGGGGCACGGGAGAGCGCACCGATTGGGAGAGGGTGGAGGCGTAGTAGTGAGAGAAGAAGAAGTGTGCGCCCCACACACGGTCTTCCCGTGCACTGTACCGCCTTGGGATGCCACTGCTGCTGCGGCCAACGGTGGCACTACCCGTGGGAGCAGCAGTTTCAGTAGGAGCGGCGGTAGCAGTGGGAGCAGCACGCAGCGCGCTCCCGCTGCCACCAGCGCAGTCAGTTAGGCCAATTGCAGCGCGGCATGTGTCCACGACCCTCACTGCCTCTGCCGTACATGCACGCACGTTCATAACAGCGCCTGCTTCTGTGCCCAGCTCCAGTGTTGCTGCCCTCCCTGCTTCTTGCCATGCACTGCTGCTCGAACCTCCCATGCCTTCCATGTCCACTATCCCCATCCCTGTCGCTGCCCTTGCTGCTGCTGCTGCTGCTGCTGCTGCTGCTGACTTTCCGCCTGTTGCTATAGTCCTTGCTGTCGCGGTAGTCTTAGCTGTTGCTGTTTCTGCTGGCGCTGTTGCTTCTGTTTCTTCTGCTGCTGGCGCTGTTGGTACTGTTGCTGTTTCTGCTGCTGGTGTTGGTGATGTTGTTCCTAATGTTGCTGCTGCTGCTGGTGCTGCAACTTCTGTTGCGTTTTCAGCTGCCGGGGCTGCTGCTGCTGCTGCTGATAAGGCGGTTTCCCCTGTTGGTGGTGGAGAAGGGCAGGGAGCAAGGGTTGCGATGGGCCGAGGCGGGTGGATGGAGGAAGGGCGTGGGTAAGGTGCAAGGCGTGGTGCTACTGGTTGCTGCCCGTAAGCAGTACCAGTGGCAGACGCAGTGTGTTGCGGCTGCTGTAGCCATAGCTGCTGCTGGTTGGGCTGCTGCTGCTTGTGCTGCTGCTGTGGCTGCTGTTGCACTTGCTCTGGCTGCTGCTGCTGCTGCTGCTGCTGCTGCTGCTGCTGCTGCTGCTGCTGCTGCTGCTGCTGCTGCTGCTGCTGCTGCTGCTGCTGCTGCTGCTGCTGCTGCTGCTGCTGCTGCTGCTGCTGCTGCTGCTGCTGCTGCTGCTGTTGCTGCTGCTGCTCCCGCGGCTGCTGCTGCTGGCCGCACTCTCCTGGCGGCACCATGTGGCACGTGCTGGTGGCGTGCGTGCACGCGGAGCTGCTCCCACCCACTCCCGCACCAGCTCCTGTGGCCGACCCACTCTCCCTGAAACCACCAAATCTGGAGGGTACAGTGGGCCTGGAGGCTATAGCTCCTCTGGTGTTTGCATTCAGTGCAGCAGGAGGGGCAGGAGCAGTAGCAGCGGTGGACGGTGGGTGGCTGTCAAGGCTGAAGATCAGCCTCGGTGCAAACCGGGTTGCCGGGGCACCAACCGGAGCTATCTCAATGTCCAGGTTCGGCGCCGGACCTACATCCCACCAGAGGGCCATTCCGCCAACATCCCCGCCCCCATCTCCCCCACCATCTCCGCCAGTATCCCCGCCAGCATCAGCGCCTGCTTCTTGCCCGCCCCCCTCCTCTGATAATCCTTGCTCCGCCTGCTGCTCCCGCCTGTTCTCCCCTTCCTCCCCCCCTGCGCCCTCCGCGGACCCACTCTCCGCGTTCTCCCCTCCCGCGCCCTGCTGGAAAGCCCTCAGAATCGCCAGCTCGCCGTTTCCGCCAAGCTCGCCAGCCCTATCGCGCTCTTCCATCCCGCGCTGCTCCCCCTCTGCGCCACCCACGTTGTTGCTGCTATTCCCCCTCCCACCACTCCCGAAGTCCCGCGCATCCCCACCAACGCCGCTCTCCCCACCAACCGCGCCATTGATTCCAGCTGCAACACCAGCAGCAGCAACAGCGTCAGCCGCAGCAGCAGGAGCAGGAGAATTCGCGGCCGCCGCTGCAGCCACGTCAGCGTCATCAGTGGGATGAGCGGGACGAGCGGCACCAGCGGGATGCGCGGCATTGGTGGGGAGGGAGACAGCAACGGGGTGGTGCGCGGGGGAGGCGGCGTCGAGATCGAGGTCGAGGCACATGGACATGGACATGGACATGGGGAGGGGGAGAGGCAGGTTGATGTCCGGCGGATGCAGGTCGTACGGCAGCCGGATCATGCGCGTCGCAGCGTCGCACGGCGCGTCGCACGGAGCGTCGAAGTTCATGTTGGGGGTTTGGAGGTCGAACGCGCCTCTAGACGGAGGGCTGGATGTGTTCTCGCCGTAGTTATCAGTGTTATCATGGTTGCTGTTGCTGCTGTTATTGTTCTCTGTTACTGGCGGCTCTAACGGAATCCGTCCGCATTGGCGCGCGCTGGAAACGGGAAACTCGAGCTGGTTTTCGGACAGAAACGGCGCGGCGTTGTGGGACTGGAAAGACGACGCGGACTGCACGTTAAACGCGAGGGAGTACGGATTTCCGCCAAGGAAGGGAGCCGCGTGCGGGGTCTGAAGGGTGGGGCACGCTTGAAGGTTAGGGAAAGCTTGAAGAGTAGGGCACGGTTGGAGAGTGGGGTAGGAGTGGCGGATATCGAAGGAAAGGCCGCCTGGGAGGTTCTGCGAGCACGCGTCGAAATTCATGTCGAGGATTTGCAGGTCGAACGCGTTCCGAACGGAATCCTGGTCCTGGCATGCTCCCTCCCGCCCCTGCCCGTGGCTCTGAGCCTGCTGCCCCTGTGCCTCGCCCGCCTCCTGCTGCTCCAACTCCCACTCGAGGTGCATGTCGCGTGAAGGAAGGAGAGCAAGACTAGCGCATTAATGGCTGAAATGGTGGGGGAGGCGAGCTACAGTCGAAAGTGGCAGAATGGAAGCGGAGCGTGGAGGAAGTGCGAGATTTAACGACGAGAGCGACGGGTTGTCGTCGCGAGCAATAGCTTCATCATGGCTCACGACTGATGCGGTTGCCGCGGAGGGGTCAGCAATTTGTGATTTGTGAAGGGTCTGTATGGCCTGGGCTGAGATGGAGCTACTCATGCTATGGATTTATCCGCGATAAAACGTCAATCCGACTGGCGTTGTTCCAAGAATATACTTACGTGATTATTGAAGACGTATACATATATATAAGAGCTCCTCTGGTCCATATCAGGGAGTTCATGCAGCCATACCTGCCAGCAGGCAACTACCGTCAACACACACAAAATAGTCATATAGGGGCAAAACTATAGAAACACCTTTCGAAAGTGCCAAAACTCTTGAAAGTCTGAAACCTTATGTTAGGGCAGTCTGCATGTTGCACAGCTGCTGCAGGCCACCAGTCTTGCGCGTGTTAGGGGACTGAAGATGTCTTTATGCAGCCGTGGATTGACCCTATCAGACACCTGAAGTATCCCATACGACACCTGCGGTCCTCGTACAAAATCAGGTATGCACAGCAATGTACACATCCTATCCCATCCCCAAAAAACAGCCCCACCCCCTCCCCAGGCAGCCCCCTTTCCTCCCCACTCCCTGCCCCCACCCCTCAACCTCCTGGTCACCCTTGTAGGTACATCTTCCCCATCCCACTGCACCCCCACACCCCCCCACCCCCCCCACCCCACCACCACCCTATGCATGCTTTTTTGGTGCTGCGGCTGTGCCTGTCCGCTTTCCCTTGCCCAAATGTGCCGACAGACACTCAGCTGGAAGCACCCTGAGGTTGTGGAAAGCAGTGTCTGCTGCCTGGCATAGGGACGGGTGGGCAGGCAGAAGCAGATGAAGGGAGATGTAGGGTTGCAGATGTAGGGAGGAGAGGACTCGGTGCAGAATGGCTGGACACCGGAGCAGGTGAAAAAACGGTGTAAGATAACAGCAAGACAGTGCAGAGATCAAACTGGGTAGACACATCGTGCAGTCAGCTCAAGATACACGTAGGCACGTGTTAGACTCACCTTCTGTACATTTTGGTCCGCGAAACGCAGACGGCACCCTTCTGACCCCTTCTCTGCTGCACTCTCCACAGGATTGCTGGCCAGCGTGCTGCCAGCAACCACGCCCATGCTGCTGCCAGCACCCGTATCCTGCATGCCTGCTTCATTCCCTGGAAGGGATCCCCCAGTGACTGCTGCACTGTGAGCCGCCTGAGAGGGACTGGCTGCAGGAGGGGGATGAGCAGCCTCGGCTGCTGTCACCTCCCTCTCATCACACAAGCCCTTATCCGCCTCCATGCCACCTGACCTCTCCACATTCTCCCTGCCCTTTGGTGTCTTTTCCCCGCCTTCTGATGCTCCCTCGGCCCCCTTTGGTGCCTTCTCGCAGCCCTCTGGTGACCCCTCAGCGTCTGCCATAATGGGATATCCCTTGTCTGCCGCACCCACTTCTGCCGTCCTCCCTGCACCACCGTCCTCCTCCTGCTCTCCACTGCTCGCCGTGCTTCCTTTCAGTGCAAGGGTTGCCTTGTGCCGCGCCACCATCATGGCCACAATCCAGTCAAACACCTGCACGTGGAAGAAAAAACAGAATAACACACAAGAAATCATACACATTGAGCGCGTACCAATGTCACTTACCGAGCCGAGCACAGCACACAAAATAAACCAGGCAACATGAGAGCGCATTCAGCCTGACTGACCTGAGCAAGGCGGTAGCGGGGGTGCTCCAGGGCGTTTTGAGGGCCATACCGCCCTGTGCCCTGGCACTCCGGACAGAACACCTCAGTCAGCGGCAACAGCTTTACTCCCTCCAGCGCCTCTGCGCCCTCAGGAGCAGCTGGCGTTGCTGGCACTGCTGTTCCTCCTGTTCCTACTGACACTGCTGCCTCTGATTCTGCCCCTTTGCCTGGCACGCCCTTGCTGGCAGCTCCAGCTGCTCCAGACGCTGCTACAGGCGCTGATGCCGGCACTGCTGAGGGCACGCCTCTCTTCGCCTTGCCTGGCTGCTGTGCCACGGTGTCAGCTGAGCTGCGCTTGCCCAGAAGATGTGACATAGCAGATGCAGAGGCAGGAGGAGCAGGAGGTGGAGCCATCAGGGACGCAGCAGCCGACGCAGCAGCTGTTGCCACGATGGCCACCACTGCTGCATCTTCACTGGACACTGGCCCTGCGAGAGTCAAGGACGCACAAATGTCAGTACACTGCTGTATATTCATGTATAACAGCATAGCAGTAACTGCTGAAATGAGAAAAGCTGGAAGTTATCAGAAGGGGAAAGAGTACCTGTGGCAGCAGCAGCAGCCAGGGCAGAGGTTGCAACAGCAGCAGCGGTGGCAGAGGAGTGAATTGCGTCTGGGATGCCAGCCCACGCCCACGCGTCGGAATGATTCTCGTCACTGCTAGCACTGCTGCCATCAGCATCCCCACCCGGCCCCACACGCTCAGCCCCATTAGACTGAGGAGCATCTCCAGGCTGGTTATTCGCATTCGCTTCAGCAGCAGCACTGGCAGACACAGGAGCACTACCGCCAGCCTCAGCAGCAGTAGCAGCAGCTGCTGCAGCCCCTGTGACTCTGCCAGCAGCAGCAGCGGCAGCAGGTGTGGCAGCGCCACTGGCCTGGCGGCTTGGCCCCAGGGACGGCGCGTGTGCCTTTTGGTGGCGGTGCATGGAGGAGAGGAGGTGCGCCACGTCAGCCTCGAGCGGGCAGCAGAGGGCGGGCGGCACACTGGTGCTGGCGACCGCAGAGCAGAAGACCACCCAGTCCGCTATGCAGTGCGAGTGGAATATGTGGAACTTCTGCTCGCAAACACAGGAGGTTTCGGACAAAATGCAGACGAAGATTATAATATGGAAGCAGAAAGGGTAAAGGGAAACTGGAAAGGACGAAGCTGGAGGTAGGGGAAATATGGGTGCGTATCACCTTGTGTCGGTTCCTGCTGCTGCAGGCAAATTGTTTCAAGCGTGCATTCCACAGGGCTCCAACCACCTGCCCTTCCATCATGGGCAGCTGGCACAGAAAGCACACTCTCGTTGCAGATGCCCCTGCACCAGCTCCCAGAGTTCCTTTCCGTCTCTTAGCTGGCACTGCAGCCGGTGCTGTGGCATCTCCAGAGGCGTCAACCCCTGCTGCTGCTTCTGGCACTGGAACCGCAGGTGCAGCTGCATTCTCAGTCGCTTCGTCTTCAGTTCTACCAGCAACCGCCTCATGCAGCTCAGGCGCGGGAGTAGAGTCGTCGGCAGTGCGAGCTCCACGTGCTTCTTCCACATCCGCATTAACTTCAATTGGCTCTTCTGTGCACTGTGGCTCAGCACCAGACGTGCCTTTCAGTTCTTTCTCTTTGTTACCATCATCGTCATCTCGTGGAACATCCTTGTCGCTGGCCTCTTCCGGTTGCTTCTTGAGCTCCCCTGGATGCTCGGCGGGGACATCTGCCAGCAGTGGTAGCTCCTCCTTCTGACTGTGCTTCTCACCAGGACCGCCATCGGACCACTTCAACAGCTGCTTCTCCCACTTCCCTCGGCGACCAATCAGGTTCGTGAACTTGAACAATGCCAGGGCGAAGTCCTCAGGTCGGCTTGGCTCATCCGATTCTTCTTCTGCTGCTGTTTCTGGAACAACGTCACGTGCATCCGCCTCACCGTCCGGTGTGACTGCAACATCTTGACCATTGGCTTTTCTCTGGCGCTTGGAGCCGCCAGCAGCAGACTTAGAGGCATCACTCGTATGAGGCGCTTTACGCTTGGAGGAAGGAGACACGGCGGAGTTTTTCCCTGCAGCAGCAGAGAAGGGCAAACTTCAAGTTGCGAGAAGGTTCAACCGGCAGAAAACATGTGGGTTACATGAAGCCGTCGCTCACAGATTGAGCGGTAGGCTCACCTTCCCCAACGAGCTTCCACGGTGGCGTCAACTTGGAAGTTCTCTCCCAAGGGGGACTTCCAGTGACGCTGGACGGTGGTGAGGTGATCGGTGTGGCTTCCGCCTGTTTCCGCTTGTGCTTCTTCCCATGTATATGGTCGATCAGGCTCGCGTCATGGTAAGCCCATACGCTGCATTCAACACCAGAAGTTCCAGCTCAGTTTAACGAAAAAGTCAAGGTGCTCCAACTAAAACGCGGTAAGAGCGGTAACGAGAGGGGAAAATGCGACAGAAAGGAAGAAGGCTCGTCGCGGCTTACTCGCACAGAGTGCAGTAGAAAATGATGCGTTTGTCGTCCTCTACCACCAGCACCCCTTCTCCCTTGTACAAGCTCTGCAGATGCGATGCAAGCGCTGACGCCAATTTCTTATTCTCAGCAGGCTTCTGAGTCGCCGTTTGCGGAAGAGCAGCCTTTGTTTTCTTCTTGCCATCCTGCTTCTCGGTTTGCTTTGCTCCTCCAGCCGGCTTTTTACTACCCTTCATCCTTCGGTCAGATAACGTGCCTCGCAAAATGCCTTTCACTCCTGAACGAGGTGTTGACTGCTTGGAGGCTTGGCCGTCCGCACCTCGTGCGGAGAACATGGCGACTGTTGATTTCTGAACCATGTGTAAACCTTCGTTAATGATTGGTCTGCAGAAAATAGACCAGACATCAAAGCTGACTAAACTATGTGTGATAAGAACCGTTGACGCTTTGCCACACGTATAACCTACTAGACTCTGAAAGGTCCACTATACAGAGGATATTCGACGGACAAAAACGAAAGATTCTTGTGTGAAGAGAGCTGGGAGATAAAAGGTTCCATCCATAAGCGAAGTTAATTCTGTGTTTGTGGCAGGCGCAGCAGCGTGGATGGGAGCCTTGCTGTCAGAGAACCACACTGAACCAAATGAAACCCTTGTTTTGCCTTGACCAACTGCTGTGAGTCGCATCAGAGGCGGTGTGCGTGACCCGTGACCAGGCCTGTCGAAGTTTCTGGGGCTCGTACTTGCGCTCCCCAGCTCCTCCGCATCTGACCCTTGGTTGGGTGTAGGTGTGCGGTTTGGCGCACTTAACGGTCACGGGCGCACCCTAAAGTGAAAACTTGAAATCAGGGCATGTTTGAAGTTTGCACTTACACTGTATTTTACTAAGGGAATGTTCGGGTGCTCCAAGGCTGACTGAGACACACTACAGACACGAGGTTGGCTAGAAAACGCTAAGGGAAAAATCCCCTTGGCGCGCTCTAGTGCAGGCAAAGGAGAAAGGGGGGGGGGGTGGGGGGTGGCTCGCTCGGGCACCCTGGGGTGGGGGGGTCCTACGAGCGGAAACCAAAACTTAGATAAAGGGGAAGGACTGGTTTCGTCCCTTAACGCGTCCGGGGAAGGATCGAACGAAGCACTTAGTGGCACGGGTGGGGTACGAATCCAGAACTTGCCGCATCGGAGCTGGAGCGTAACTAGCCCTTAATGTTCAGGGCATTAAAGGCATATGCCCTTGAATCGACAGGCCTGCCCGTGACCCGTCCCCTCTCCTCCCCCGTCCGTTTCGTTCTTGCCTTAGCATTCAAGGATGCCTGCTTGGCCGCCTTCCAAGACCAACCAATCCGTCATGCTCGAAGGAATCGTAGCTGTGCGATGATGCCTTTGCGACAGTTACCAACACGGGAATCTATGTCAAGAGAGCTCGCGAAAACCTAACCCGAACCAGGTCAAGGAGCATTCGCCACGTAGGCGGAGGACCACAGCGGATGACGTGGGGCGCGAGGTGGCCCGCCCGGCAATTGGGTCTTTTTCACCCAGAGTGGATGGATGGATTTCGCGAATTCGAAATGGAACTCCTCCTGTGAGCACCCCCTGCCCTGAGACTGATAGGCTGGTTGGATCGCGAACTGTTCTCAGAGACACTGGTTTCGTCGTCCAATCGCTAAGGCCAGTTTCCCGCTAGGATTCTTACAACCACCAGATTCCTCCACACCCATTCGGCACTAAAAACTGCTTGCGCATAACAAACGTTTATCGGCTCCAGCAGTATCGAGTCAGGCAGCTCCTCGTCCTGGTGACGCTTCCTCCTGTCCCAACCACCAACTTCAATCAAATTTGCAGAAATCATGGGAAATTCATGGGGGGAATTCGCGGAACCCCATGAACGGAAATGGAGCCCGTCCCATTGATCGCGCTCCACTGTCCACCAAACCCGATTCTCCAACCACCTTCAATCTCCGTGATACCAACAGCCTTTCATGATAAAAAAATGCCTTCGCGCGGTCAATTTTGGACGATCTATTTGGCATTCTCGTGTATCTTCACGTCTGCATTCTCTCCATCCTTGCAAATGTGATCGCATCAGCACTACCACTTTCGCTTCAGCGTCGCGTCAAGGGGGTGATACAATGAAGGAGCACGCAAGAAAATGTGGATTCCGGGAACAAAGTCACGAGGCCTTGAAGCAAAAAGCGGGGGCGTGGCAGGATACTCCCGAGGAGGTGTTCACGAAATCGGGCTGGTCAGGCGTGCGTCGCGCGGCCGTGGCAGCGGTGCATCGCTCGTGTGACGCGACGGAGCACTGGGAACCGTGGCTCGGCGCGCTGCTGGAAGAAGATTCCAGGCGCAGGTGAGCAGCGGAGGCGAAGCTAGGGTTGGACTGATGGCTTTCGAAAAGCCCGAGGTTTCGTTTTCTTAACTTCTCCGTTTGGCTTTCCCCGTGCAACCCCTCTGCCCGGTCCACTCCAGCCGAATGCTCGATGAGCTCAATGCTGCCCTTACAAGGGCAGGTGCTGCAGGGGAGCCAGACGGGGAGGCAGCAGGTTGGGGACGGGAGGGAGTGGGAGACGAGGAGTCTGGCGTGGTGGGAATCGAGCAGGACGCGGGCAGGGACGAGAGGGAGGAGGCAAGTGCATCAGGGAGGGGAGGCGCGGTGGCAGGGTTTCCGGTGCTGCTGGGTGTGCCGGTGGCAGTGAAGGTGCGAAGCTCTCTGCGACTATTGACCGCCTATTCCAGCAGAACGTTCGCAGATCCCTAGGCACCATGCGCCATACCTACATTGCTGTTGCAGCAAGCGTCTGCGTCCATGTAGTGCCAGTGCTTGCGGAGACAGCATGTGAATTTATGGCCTGTTACATCCCCATGCGTGCGTGGCAGCAGGATCTGATCCACGTGGACGGCTTCTCCACCAGAGCAGGCGCGCTGCCAGGCTTCCCTGCTCTGGACTCCGTGTTGGGGATGAGGGAGGGCGAGGTGCGTGCAGGAGGCAGGTGAGGGAGGGGAGAAGAGTTTTCAAAAGGCAGAGGGTGCATCCGAGTGACAGTCGCCTGCCATTCAATGCACATGGGTGGGTGGATGCATGCGTGCAACGGTTCCCGTCACGTGTTGCTGTCACGTGAGGTTAAATTTCAGTGATCTGTGCAACACAGTCTGTGTGGAACTGTAGATGGCGTTGCTCACCGTGTCTTTGGCGCTTTCCATCCCGTCTGCTCTTGAATCACAGATAATCCAACGGCTGAGGTCAGCTGGTGCACTCATCCAGGTCAGTCCATTCACATCGCACCCAATCACTTGATTATCTGACGTTTTCACATCCTCTACCAATGTCTCCTCCTTGCATGGTACAGGTTCACTCACGTGTAGGATCTCACCAGTCTTGCAGTATGTATTGGCCTTTTCTGTGCTTTTCACGTACCTTACCTCTGACCCCTCTCCTCAGCATCCGTTCATTCCCAATATGATGTTGAACACATGTATGCATGCTCTGCTGCTCTCCTCTCACTTTCCTCTGCCGTCCTTGGTCCAGGGCAAGGCAGCCATGACAGAATTCGCCTACTGCCGCCCGACTCGCACGCGCAACCCTCTCGCTCCAGTTGAGTCACCGCCTGCCTAGTATTGCCATCACGACCACCACACTTTCTTCCAGCCCCATGCGTCCGGTGTGCCTACTCTTGTCCGCACTGTCTCCTGTCCGCTCTGCCTCATCTTCTGCCGCTCTGCCTCACCTTCTCCCGCTCTCATCACCTTCACCCGCGCATCATCTCCCCCATCTGCTCCCGCGCAGTCCTTCACGCCTGGGGGCTCCAGCAGCGGGTCAGCAGCAGCTGTTGCAGCAGGCATCTGTCCGCTGGCCCTCGGTTAGTCTCCCTCCTCCTGCTCCCTCCCCTTGCTCTCTCCTCCCTTCACCTCCTCTCTTCTGCTTCTCCTCTTCCACACCTACCTCTCATCCCCAATGCCACCTCTTGTCCCCGCTCTCTCTCCCCTCTGCTGCTGTCTCCCCTCCCTCGACACCCCCTTCTCCACTCTGCAGCATCACAGACGTGTGCATCCATCTCCCGCCCAGCAGCCTTCACAGCCACGGTGGGCTTTAAGCCATCGCACCACCGCCTCCCCGCCTCTGGCTGTGTTTCGGTCAGCACCCCAGCCCAACCCTCTCTTCCTCTCAGCCCCCGTTCCCCGTCACACGTGCCGAATGCACGGTTGTGGTAAGCTCCGTGTTTAAATAGGATGTGGCTGATATGTGGCTGATATGTGGCTGATACTAGCTTGCGTGCGTGCATGCACTCCTCCACCTCACTCGCATCACCTGCTGCTCGCTTTTTACAAGGCAAAGCACTGCATGACCCACTTGGAAGCGCATCGCTCTATGCCCCCCTGTGCAGCCATCCCCATCCTTGGAGTCATCTCAGCCTCAGTGCGCTGGGCGGCACTCTGTGTATCTTGACAACCTCATCCCCACCCCACCCCACCCCAACCCCATACACGCCCCCCCGCGCAGCCATCGCCCTCCCTGGACCAGTTTGGAGTCATCGCAGCTTCAGTGCGCTGGGCTGCTCTCTGGGGTCGAGCCGTGCTGCCCCACTGGCGGCCCCCAACCCCCTCTGGGGCAGTGCACGGTAAGCTGCACTCGCCTTCTCCCCATCTCCCCTGCCCTCGCCTGTGACCCATGTGCCTGTGCCTTTTCGCTTAGAGGCACCTCTGGTGCAGTGGCTCCCGCAATCACCATCACCGCTGTTGACCGCACTCAACTCCTCGTCTCTGCCTCCCTCTTACACATCTCACCTGTACGCCCTATCTGCCTGCAAACAACCCCTCCAGAGCCGCGCTGTGTGGGAGTCCCTGAGGGGCCGCTGCTGGAGCAGTGTGAAGGGGGGGCAGCGTGGGAGGCGTTTCAGCAGCTGCTGGCGCAGATGAGGGCGAGCAGGTGGGCAGGCGGCGGTGTGAGGGAAATAGGTGATCTGCACCATACCATTATCCCTGTCACCTCCCTCCCTCGTCTCCTGTCGCTTATCCATCCATCCATGCTTCCACTCGTCCCATCATCTCCAACATCTCCCTGCGACGTTTCCCCACTTGCGGCCCTGCCTGCCTGGCAGTGCATGGAAGGTGGTGTCGCTGCCCTGCCTTGACGACTTGCAGCGGATCAAAGAGTAGGTTCCACCCATGCCACGCCACACCTACCATGCCATGCCACGCCACACCTACCATGCCATGCCACGCCACACCTGCCATGCCATTCT